AGACCCAGGACACGCTGGAGGGACTATGTCTCTCAGCTGGCCTGGGAACGCCTTGGCATTCCCCCGGAGGAGCTGGAGGAAGTGTCTGGAGAGAGGGAAGTCTGGGCATCTTTGCTTAGACTGCTGCCCCCGCGACCCGGCCCCGGATAAGCGGAGGAAAATGGATGGATGGATGGGTTTGAGAAACCACTATAAAGGAAAGGACCATTATAAATATAAGCATTGCTTTTCAACAAAGCACAACAAGGTGAGGTCAGCATTATGCTGTTGTGTTTTTTAATTAGTTTTGCAACTGTAAAAGCTCTAAGTATAATTGAAATCTCGGGTGCCAGATGGGTGGGTATGAGTGCAGAGGGCAAATTGCAGACATAAACTATTACTATGATTTTCTTTGACTGATATCTTACCAAAGATTGTCTGAATTGTCCCACTGCAGTAAACCCCATCCATCTTGAGAACCAAGCAGGGGATTCGAAGATTTATATGCATCTGCTATTTGAAACAAATCTGCTCTACAGTTATATAACGTTTTTTGCAACTCTCAACCTTTTCAACATAACTGGAAATGTGCAGTTATTCCAGTAGATTACCTATAAATGTGTGTGTTGTCACTATACCTGTGGCTGCAGAATTGAGCACTCCAGGTAGCGGTAGAGCAGGCCTGCTGGCAGGACAGACACAGAGGGACACCTTTACTGTCCATAGCTTGTAGGTAGCCAGGCTCTGATGATGGCTGGTCCTCTAACACCTTACAAGACTCCTTGTCCTGCCTGCAGAGACAGATAATGATTACACAGGTTGGGTTCAGTCTTCAACTGCTCACTCACTGGGTTCATATGATTATTTTAAGAAAGGTCATTATTTAAAGAACTATATCAGGGCTTGTGAATTTGTCTGATTGGTTACCTTACCCAAAATCTTGACAGTTGGAACCTTAATCTCTGGGTCATAAATTCTCAAAACAAAAGATCTGTTTGCATGTGAAATGATGTATGTTCTGTTCTTCAAGCAGTTGAAGTGTCAGTTGAAGCTGAAACAGTGAAGAGGTTTAGAGTGTCCCTTGAATTATATGCAGTTAAACAAAACAATAAAATATACTAGGGAATGACAAAGTGGTCCTCTGAAAGGCTCACTTCACCAGCTCAACACAAGAAGTCCAGTTGAGCAGTACTACACTACATAACCAGTGTGAACACTTATATAATGACTTCTATGTCGCTGGGTGGCCTGTCTCCGAGTTAAGCCAAATTAAGTCCTGGCTATTTGAGAATATGTGATTATGTAGTGTATATGGGAACACTGGGTAAATGCTTAGAAATGCTCTAAGACTGGGTAAATACAGCACTTAGTTAATTGATAAATAACGACAAAATGCAGTATTCAGAACAACTTTCAGTGTCAAAGGATGGTGTTATTACACCAACTGGACATAATGCCACTAAATACATTTATTCTGTCTATGGAATCTGTTTTTTAAATTCACTTTGATTCGGGCAGCATAGCTGCTGCAGATTTCGAGCCCTTTGTGAACTAAACTTCAATGAGAAGTTACCTTGACAAATGTAGCAGACATCAATCCAAAAAGAAACATTCAGATTCAGTGAAAAGCTCAGTTCTTTCAACATCAACAAAACACCAAACACAAGTCAATATATATAAATTCATTTTCAAAATCTGTGCTTGGTTTGCATATTGCAGATGCAATTGGAAAGACATATGGTTGGTGTGTGTGAAATGTGTATGCAATGATGGTGATGTATTCAAGTATGTGTACTGTATGTGCATGCCCACCCTCTTGGCAGAAGACAGCAAGTTTGGGCATTTGCCATGTTGTCCCAGCAGGGCGCTAGAGCTACGATGGAGGGGACAGATGGACTAAATTCTCTTTCCCCATGGTTTACAATTCAGACAGACAGAGGAAGGAACAAAAAGCCAGAGAGACTAAACACTACAGAGGGAGATTTAATCATTGAAATGAAGAAGAAACCCTCTAAAAAGGAACCTCGCTGCTTCAAAGTTGAGAAGATACCAAAAATTGGAAGTACCAAGAGACATGCTTTGCCAGCAATGCCTAGTGGATGAAAGAGATCGAAATAAACTTTTTACTTGTGCTCCCAATCTGAGAATACTGACACCATGGTTCTTTGTAAGCACCCAGAAATGCATGGTTTACTAGTAACTCTAATTAATGCAATAGCCAGCAAAAAAATGCAACCAAATCAGAGAAACCCCAAAGCATGTATGAATGTAGTTTTGGCAAAATTGATTACTATATGTTTTATATCTAGCTTCAAAGTCATTTAAATTCATAATATGCACAAAACAAGAGCAAATGTTGGCAGCCCTACATCGCAGCACGAGGTAACTCAACTTCAAACCCCAGAAATCACGCAACATGCCTTAAGCAAATGGCACACAGCCTGCTAGTGTTTACTACCATGGCTCATCTGCGAAGCTTTATACCAAAGGAAACCAAAGTGAGAAGAAAAAGATCTGACACTGGTGAGTCCAGCTGTCAACCTTTTGGCGGAGTGTTTGCTCACGTCTAATCAGAACTGTGTTTTATACATTTTAATTTATCGCGTCCTGTGGATAGTGAAGCAACGACATTAATTAATACAGTGAAAATGGGACAAGACATGGTGTCTCTCAGCTATACCTAGCCCCTCCATGACAGTCTGCTGACTATAGTCCTTCTGTTGTCATTCCTGGCTCCTCCACCCTCTGTTATAATGGTCGGTCTGGACATTAGCCCCACCTGCCACCTAGCAAAGGTTATTAAGAGGTGTTTTTATCTATAGTGTTTTGTTAAGCATACTTTTAGAGAAAACTATATCTTGTTACATTATCAGGTTATGTTATGTTAGAATGTGAGCTAGACAGGAATTGTTAGCAACTGTCATTTATTTCAGAAATACCCCTCAAACTGTACAAAGCTGTATGTTGTACAGAAGCACAAATGCTGGACAACATCTTTAAAACTCTTCATGGATGAGGCTCTCACAGACATTTTGCACTGTATGTAACACTACTAGCTATGTGCATGCGTGTGACAGAGTGTGTGGGTTTTCCACAGGTTTCCATAGTGATATTCCCTCCTTGGGTGAGCTAGCCGTTGCATCTCACCCAGCAGATTGTATTATGGTCTATATTTACTGTACTAACACACTCAGCGGGCCTTTGTGCCTCTCAAGGCACATACAGATCTCCATGGAGACAGCTGAGGGAAGGAAAATGAAAATATACCAAATCCCAGAGAGGGAGCCACGTGATTAGACAAACCACCATCATGTAAAGACCATGAAGCCTCATCTCTAAAAACTACAAAGAAGGATGGACATGATTTATGAACTGTTAAAATACTTGTTGTACAGAATATAGCAAATGCACAGTTATCAGCTACAAGTGAATTTAAACAGAAAGATTTTGTGCTTATCAGTTGTGTAAACCTTAATATTATTAAAATATTATTTAGGACCTTTCCTGTCATGAACATCCATCTACGTTTGTCCTTTAACCCAGTGGCCCCCAACCACCGGGCCGTGGCCCGGTACCGGTCCGTGAGGCATTTGTTACCGCACAGAAAGAATAAATAATTTATATAATTTCCATTGCATTGATTTTTAGAGTCTGGAAGATGTTTTATTATGAAAAACGAACAGGATTTTCTCCGACGTATCATCCACCTGTGCCCCTTGACACGTCAAGACGCATGTGTCAGTCACAACATCACATGATACGTTGCAAAAAAAAAACAACAACCGCAAACTAGCAAAAATGAGTAAAAAACAAATGTCTTTGAAGAGCTTCTTTCAAAGGGGAAAAGGCCAACTGAGGAGCCAGAAGAGGAGCCCACGACCTCCAAGAAAAAGAACGCTTCTTTTAACAGACAATATCAGGAGTCATACTTAAAATATGGGTTAAATGCAACAGGTGACTCTCACGCACCAAGGCTGCTCTGCATGTCTGTGCAACAAGAGGATCAGCTGCTGGAGATCGCAAATGACGGGGACCTTAAACGTACATTTGAGACAACAACTCTGCCGATGTTCTGGATGAAAATCAAGCCAGAATATCCTGAAATCACTGAAAACCCTGGTACCATTTCCAACATCCTATCTTTGTGAAGCGGGCTTTTCTACAGTGACAGCAACCAAGACAAAATTACGGAGCAGACTGGACATAAGGGACACATTGCATGTGTCATTGTTTCCTATCAGCCCTAGATGGGACCATCTTGTTGCAGGGAAACAAGCCCAGGGCTCCCACTGACTCTGCATTATGGTGAGTTGATATAGTGTAGAATTATTGTAATTGCCTAATATAAAGTGTAATTGTTGCATTCAGATTACATACTATGAACTGACAAAGGTTTTTGTTATTGGAACCCCTGTTCCTCTACCCAGTCCGCGAAAAATTTTTCATGCATGAAACCGGTCTGTGGTACGAAAAAGGTTGGGGACAGCTGCTTTAACCTACCTCTCTGACACAGGTGGTATTAGTGAAGAGGCAGACCTCCGCCTAGTGAAGAAGTTTTCCTTGGTGACCAATTGGACACTGCCTCCCTCCTGCTGGGCCTTTTTCAGGGAGACCAGGGCCACATCATCTCTGCTGAGGTATCTGTGAAAATTGGATGAATGGGGCTGTGAGGGAATGGAGACGTTCTATAACCAGAGAGGCTGATGAAGAGAGCTGACTCACATGTAGAGCATGTGGGAGCAGTTGTAAGGAGATGGATTCATAAAATAATATTAGTACCAAATAAGATCAGAAATTTGATGTTGTTCAAGCATACCAGTAAAAAGTAGAAATCCTGGGGCTCTCCCACATGACAATAACACACACCATCACACACTGAACTGGCAAAACTTTACAAATGACCTCAGTGCACTGTCAGATACACTTTAATAATTTTCTTGGCAGCAATATGCACTTGAATGCACAAATTCTTCCTTTCATTGCATATTTGCTTTTTTGTGCTCATATTCTGTTTGTCCACTTCCCCTGCTGAATCCTATTACTATAGCTGCAGCTGCAGTGTAATTTCCCAACAGGAATCGTCAATCATCTAATCTAATCAATCTACCGCGCCACTGGTTTTTATGGCCCTTGTAACACAGATGCTAGGTGTGCAAAGTAAAAAATTGCCCAAAACACTACATCTCAATCTGGGCAGGATTAAAATGACCCCAGGTTGTCAGAGCTGACATGAAGATCAGGAGAGGAGTTTTGGGGAAAAACACTAAGTTGTTTGTTCTGGGTGACAGAAAACACCTAATTTCTTGAGAGAAAAGTGACCAATCATCAAATGTCACCAGGAAACACTGAACCTTTCCAAAGAAGGATGATATAACACTCTCATCGTCCCTATAGAGCAATTATTCTTCCTCTGTCCTCCTCTACAGGGAGGTCAGAGGTCATAGTCAACTAATAAAGATCAATCCTGCAGCTGGTAGATTCTCAGTGTGTTGCTTAAAAATACTTCGGCAAAGTGGATGATGACAAAGAGATGCAAAAAAGTATTGCAAAATAATATCCACATATCCACAATACATTAATAGGTAAACCTGAGGCATACTGGGAACTTGAGTCTCTGGGCCTGTGCCCTGTAGGGCTGTTCAGTAATCCATATATGTCAAGGTCATGTTAAAAGGCCTCTTTAAAAAAAGAGGGCAAAATAGGAGATGGATGGAGAAACAGGAGGGAGCCATCGTGTGGTGTAGCCATTTCTCACACACAATCAACTTAGGAGATAAAACTGCTCACTAACTGTTGTGTAGATCGATAATTAATGTCGGATTTTCCAAACATTTGTTCTGACAGCTATGTCAATTCTTGAACTTAATTTGATGAAACTTTATAGCTGGCAGACAAACAGTAGCTCTGCCACCTCTGAAATAAAATCAATAACTGGAATAGCTCCTAGAAGTTAGAGGACATGGAGAAAAATAAACAACATTATTTAACTAAAAAGAATAATTTACTTCACAGTAAAAGACAGATAAAACTTGCCTGAGGTTGTATGCAGAATAAAGGTTAAAACATTTTTCATCATCTGTTGATGGCAATTATTTCAAACTGAACAATAAAAAAAACATCTTTTTAGTTGAAATGTCCACACAGGTATTTTCCACCTGTTCTCCTGATTACTAATGAAACACTGGCCTCTGTGGAAACAGGTTATGCAGTGACATTTTGATGCCTTTCCACCACCTCCATCTGGACATGTTCTTTGGGAGGAGATGGAAAGAAGGTAGAAGGGGAAAAAATAAACGAAAAATGAGGCAGAAGGCAGAAAGTGAAGGAGGGAGACACATCAAAGGGGAAAAGTTTCTTTGGAAATGGAAGGGAGATGGGGAAAAGGTAAGTCTCCATCAAACAGTTTTCCTTTCCTTTGCTTCAAACAGTCCCAGCACAGAGGCCGGATGAAACGAGATACCTTACACTAAACTGGAGTCCAGCTGTGCCTGTGGGAGGATGTGGATGAGTATGTGTGTTTGCATGTTTTTATACAGCTAGGTGCGTGGACAGTAGTCCTGTACACAAATGTTTCTTATGCATTACATTTTCGGCCATGATCCAAACTCCTCTGGGATTTTGCTAGGGCTAGCCAGGTTCATGGATGTGTTGAATTATTTCTTTTGAGCATGGTTTATTTTGGGAAAACCAATTTTGTTTTAAAACAAGAACAATTTTGGAATTTTATCTGTCATTAGGTCAACTTGCAGTTCCATTGAGGAATATTTATTCAGGTGGTTCCCTTTGCTCTTTGTCTGGTGCAAGCACAGGCAGGACGCGGCGGTACACATTTCTGTACAACATATGCTATTAATCTGACTGACAGTTGGTGGTGGCTTTTCCATGCCAACATGCTAAATATAGAGCTAAAGCTAACAACCATCTGACTTAGCATAAAGACTTGAAACACAGCCTGGCTGTGTGCAAGTATTTTGCCCAAGCAAAGGCAACTAAATCCACCTGCCAGCATCGCTACACCTCACTAACTAACATGTTGCATCTTGTTTATTTAACCTGTACAAAAAAAACCCCAACAATTCACAGTTTTCAGCAGATTGTGAATGGGACTTTTCTTGGTCGCAGGCAGAAACTAAATTCTCCACTGGTTGCTTGGTAAGGGGTAGCTGCTAGTGGTAGCTTCATATTTACTGCATAGACATAACAGTGGCATCAGTATTCTCACCCAAGTCTCCCCAAGAAATCTGTGCATTTTCACTACCCCCGTAAAATAAATAATTTTAAAAGATGTTACAAAGAAGTGCTGGAGTTTGCAGCAGCTGTGAAAAAACAGCAATAACATGATTTGTGCTGGATTATCTGGTTTTCTGCTGGTAGTCTTTGATTTCAAAGCTGAAGGAGCGCTGAAGGAGCGCTGCTGGAGGCCAGAGGTTGCAGCGAGCTGCTGACAGCGTACCTGCAGACCCACACAGACGCAGCTCCACCCAGGCTGGCCTGCGGTTCAACACTGAGGTCAGACCTTGCTCAGCTGTGTGAAGTTAAAGTAACGAGCTGCTGCTCCACTTTCGCCCAGCTGAAGCTTCTTTGATTGATTGTTGCTCTCCTACATCAAGCCGCAGTGAGCCAGGTGCAGCAACAGTCGATTTGATGACACTTGTGGTCACAGGAAAGCCAGACTTGACTGGTAACAATTAAAACTACTTTACAAAGAGGCAATTACAGAACACAAACACATGAAGTGTTTATTGCTGAATAAATTCTTGCCATGAATAGTAACACAACTTTTAAGGATTATAACTTTAAAGGGACACCACCAAATTTATCTGGGAAGTTCATTTTATTAATAATCATCTCAGAATGTGAAAATGTCTTCAGCAGCTCTGGAGGAGCTTCACCAAGACTGAAAATAACCCTGTCTTCTCTGAGTTTTAGCCTGACACTTCAAACTCACAACAGATAGCCTAAGTTACAAACTGGGGGTGTGAAGTTTGAAAGATGTGGGCATTTACCAGGAAGGAAAACACTATGAAATTGCATAATGGGAAGTGTAGGATCCAATGTATTATGTGCTGTGACTCATACAGTACATGTGGCTAAAATCAGAATATATTGGCCTCTGCTGTTTTGATTTAGAATATTCTTTTGAAGATCTGTTTCTAATAATTGCCAGAGTATAGCTTTGTTGCAAGCTGTATAATAATAATAAAAAAATAAATAAAAAAAAATTCCCCACTCGCCCCCCTCACTTTAGAGCGGTCCCCTTCCTTCCTTCAAGCTCGGGTCCTCTCTCTCTCTCTCTCTCTCTCTCTCTCTCTCTCTCTCTCTCTCTCTCTCTCTCTCTCTCTCTCTCTATACACCAAATGTATATGTGTGTATGTGTATATACATACACACACACACACAATGTCAAAAAGTGATCTACACATTCTGAGCCAAATGTTTTGATTTTATATATATATACACACACATGCTGGACTATATAACTAACCACTGCTACTAACATATGTGCAACCAAATTTGTACACATATATACAAGAAAAATATCAGGTGCATTTGCTTTTTTTTTTTTTTTTTTTACAATGGCAATATTATAGAAGCAATAAACCATTTATAGCCAACGTTGGCAGTAACTCTGGCAATGAAGCATGCTTAGGCAGGATGCAAACTGGATTAAAATCCTCAACTCTTTCAGAATCACTGTAAATCACCATGAGTGGCTTATGACAGAAATATCCACAGTGTAGGAAACAGAAGCAAAGTGCATTAAGTTTGAAGTAGTTGAAAACTGAGCGTCTCAGTGCTGCGAAGGTGAGCCATGCTCGCCCCACTGAGCTGAAGCTGGAGCTTGATTGGTTCTGATTAGTGAATAAATCAAACAGGTATCAAATCAAGCTGGGCCAATTGCCTCCTACTCACACTTTGATTAGGTTCATGCACCCAAACACGTTCCCCAGTAGAGAAACTCTCTCTCTTACACAAACACACACACACTAGTCTACCCTGTAATTGGCAAGCTCTCCCTGCCTCTATCCACGCCAGCTGTAATTAGTGTGCAAGCAACAATGCTTGTTTGTCAAAAAACACACATGTTCACATACACAGTGCTCATCCCCATCCTCTGACACCCTTTGATACACCCACACACACAAATGTTATCCAGCTTTCCATGATGCCTAGGGCAGTTAATATTTACAAATCCACTAGTTCCTCTATGAAAGCTCACACATCGCTTCTTGGACTCTGACATAATATTAGGAACTAATTCATGTCACTGTCTCCACCATTTTCAGGTTTAAACGCACTAGCACAACGGGGGCGCTAGATCCACTTATTTCTTACTGATCAGCTCACAGGGGAAAACATATAGCCCAAGTCTCTTTGCTGCAGTTTACAGATTTATTTGCAGTTATAACAGGGGGAAGATTTGCTCCTAAAATGTTTTTAAATATTTTTAAAGCATTAATTAATTTCATAATTACTTTCATACAGAATTAAACTAAAGCAGGCTTTGCATTTCTTTGCTTGAAACCATAAATTGTGTCGTCTAAACTAACAGCTGTTGTTAGCAGATTAAATCTGGCTAGGGCTGTTGGAGTGTAAACGTTCCCAAATACAATCAAGTTCAGAGTAGAGATGCTTTTTAAAAATGTAACCTGTAACCTCACAAATTATTGCAGCTCAAAAATGTGAGCTATAGTTAGCTGAATATGCTAACATTTACAGCTTATGCAGATAAACAAACTGTTATATTGCAGTCTTTATTTTTCGCTCTTGGATTTGAAAACGCTAAAACCTTCCAAACTCTGTAAATCCCAAGAGTCGCTCTTATTACTACAGCCCGATGAGGAGCGCTTGAACATGTTGAGTAATTCATAGCATGACAGCGCTAATCACAGCAGTGTTAAAATCACTGTTTCAGGGAAAATGTTTAACGAACCATCAGTTAGTATGAGAATGGTTAATCACACTTAGGCGTTTGAAAGTCAAAGCAGCATGTTTGATTCAAAAACATGTTTTTAGGTAGAGTCTGACCTCTTGGTGCTGGAGTGAGGGGGCTGGGTGGCAGCCAGCCGCTGCAAGCCCAGAGCAGGGCTGTGGAAGAGGAGGCCGCTGTGTCGAAGCAGTTTCTGCTTCATGGCTGCCAGGCTGCTCCACTCCTGAACAAACCTCAGCACCTGCAGGGAGGACACCACATCTCACTTCATACCCAATTTCATATCTGAAACAGAAACCACTGGAGCATTTATCTTCAACACAAATTGATGGTCTGGACATTGAAGCCTCTTTAAAAGTAAACCATTTATTACTTTTCAATTTTGAAAATGCACTTGAACCGAAAACAAACAATCTAAACGTGCAGAACACACATACACACTGATACACAGGGAGACAGTTTTCCAGACAGATGAACAAAACCCATCAAAGCAAGAAAGAGCTGAACCAGTGCTATTGTGAAGCTTCTTGGTCGATGAGCAGTAGGCTTTAAAAAACATAAAAAAAAAAAAACATAAAAAAAAAAATCCACTGGCAAAATAACAAACAGCACCATACCAAGCACCAAGGCCTAATGGGCAATTTACCTACGTATATTACAGTCAAGGGTGTTTTTTTCCTGGATGATACCTACTCTCACAAAAAGATTATTTGTGTGAAGATAAAACTCAATATGCACTACAGTTTTCAAAGCTATCATATGATCCGTGCTTCCTTTGTTGATATTTTAGAAGTGAAATCCTGCATATTTTGAAAGGAATATTTCATTAAGTGCAACAAGATAAACAGTTAACATTACAGAAACAATAAAAAGCTTAACTTGAAGATGCAAATAGAAGTTTAAGAAAGCTCTGGATATTAATAAAGATGTTTTCTCAGATTGATATGACATGGCCCCTTGTTATGCTAATCAATGTCTTCAATAACTCATGGTGCTGCAGTGGTTAGCACTGTCACATCACAGCTAGAGAGCAGCTCCTGATGGGAGTACAGTACAGATGAAGACTCCTAAAAAGCTTTAGTTATAACCTGCGATGTAGCTGTTTCATGAGGCCACCCCAGAGTCAAATAGCAGAATCAGAGTCAGAAGTCGTGACTTAAGAGGAAAGTGGGATGGAGTTTCCACCCTTTAGGGTCTCCAAAGGTCAGCACGGTTAATAGGTGAGTATCAGACACTGTGCGAGCAGAAAATGGGATTTACATCTGTGCAGCTGGACAAAGTTGTATGTTAACCATGTTTTTGATATTATGTTACTGCAAAAAACATAAAAAGGCAAGAACCATCAATAATCCTAACAACTACAGTCTGTGGATCTAAATTCTGATGGCTTTTCTTTCACTGTTTTGCAAAAACTATTAAAAATAAATTGATCAGCCACACATGTTCCTCTATTACAGTGAACATGGGAAGTGTAGTTTATGGTGACTCATTCCCAGACATACTTTGACAACACCGGGTAGAGAAGCTGGAATAGCAACAGAAGGGTTGAAGGCAGCAGAGTGTCATGGAGGGAGGAAGTACACCTGAGAGACACCACGTCCTGTCTATTGTCACTGGAGTAATGTGTAAAATCTTAGTTAATGTAACTTTAAGAAATGATTTAGTCCTCTTAAAAAATGAAACTGTATACTTATGAGTCATGGTAAAAGATAAACATGTTCAGTAGGAACCGGTGGGCATGAGGCTGAGTACTATAAACATGGCAGGGAAGTCTGAAATCATCATCAAAACAACTAATGCATAGTTTTGGTCTTTTCATATTATTTCTAAACAGTAAGAAAAGTACAGAATTATGCTGGCCTCACTCTGTAAGTGGGTGAACTCATACTTAATGATTATCTTCTCAGAAATGCATTAGTTTTGTTCCATTCCCTTGAAAGGTTGTATTTTCATTACGTTTAGATTATTCAAATACCATTTTAAAATGACTGACCATGAATTAATTTTAAGGATGTTTGCTTGGGCAGCCTTGGTCTCTTTGTTTGTACTGGGTGTGAGCTAAGTTTACACACCGCTGCCTCCCTTTCCAAGATGTGTCACAGCCCACATTAAACTCCTTGCTTAGTATTGATTTTAATGGACAATTTGAGGGTAACGGGGCATAAATGATGGGTCAGAGGATGGATGCAACTCACGCCTTTGTTTTACAAAGCAACATAAATAAAGTGACAGGTGGGGCGTCTGTCAGCGGCTCTGGATCTGCCATAGCAGATTGCAGGATTTAATATTAGCTGGTTGGCGTGAGGGATCATTTCAGGCAATGATCCGTCTCCTTTAACGACCCTCATAAAACACCACTTTCTCTTTTGCTGTCTCCCAAACCCCGACCCCCACCCCTCAACCCACACACACACACAAAAACCTTTCCTCCGATCTCTACAATCCCCCAAACCCTCCTCCCTATTCTTCCAGGCCCTGCAGTGCTGTCAGGCTCCTCTTCCTCCTCATGATCAGGGGTGTCATTTGTTTCACATGGCAGTGACATGCACACACACACACACACACACACACACACACACACACACACACATCAGTTAGGTTTAATAACCCCTATAGCCTCATCTTCATTGGGTCAGTAGAATTGAAATCATTCTACTGACTGTGATATCAAACTAAATTATCTTAGTCTAAAATTAAAGTCATCCTTAAAGCAGCCTATGGGTGAACAAACTGACAAAAATTCAACTGTAGATTTGTAGATTCTTCTCATCATCTTGGAAACCTTGTAAAGTCATATGGCTGCATTTTTTCTTCTCTTTCTAGTCAACCAAAAGAACATGCTGGCACATTTCACAACCAAAAACTGTACCAGTTTTCCCCTTTAAGATATTTTTATAGTTATGACACGCTAAGTAGGTGCATCTCCCTTGTGTACACACACCAACCCACAAGCTCACACCCACATATTCATGAACATCAAAAACGCAGACAAGAGACACACAAACACACACAGAGCCCTGTGGGAAGGGCAGACCTGTATTCGATTTTCCCGACGCCGGCTGAAGGCCTCAGGCAGGTCATCCCAGTTGGTTAGTTTGATGTCCAGAGGGACAAAGCTCAGGTTCAACGCAGTACCATCCTAACAGATGAGGAGACACAGTTGAAGAAGACAGCCTTAAGCAGAAAGCTACCCATAGCACCATAACTCTTAATAGTGCACATATTCACCCACTTCTCCTGTTCCTCATCTTAGTTACAACTGCAGTGGTGATTATATGTTGCATATAAGCCCTAAGATATAGGATGCCAACTTCTCAGTTACCTCTATTGATGAAGGTTAATCTGCCCATGCTTTGAGGTATCTGTGATTTCTGACTCCACCTGAGTACACTGGAAGTGGGTGTAATGTAATTTACAGTGCTCATAGCAGTGACAAATTACATTTACATAATTCACCAGAAACATCTCGTTCTAGAAACAGTGTCACCATTACTCTTGATAATCCATAGAGTTGCTTCAAAGAAAAATCTCAGCCTAGAAAAATAAGACTATTTGTATTTCCTTCTTTCTTTTTTTGGTCATAAACCTTTGAGTCATAAATTATAAATATATAAAGTATATCTTTTTCTAAACTCAGGGTAACTGTTTGGTTGTAGGAATAATAAAGAAATTGCAATAAAATGCTTCAAATCACAGAAAACATATATTTAAGGCTGGATACAGCAAGAATAAGTGAACTATCCCTTTAAAATTAAAACTATTACTGTAGATTTTCTTTGTGAAACAGAGACTATCTTTACATGTGCTTTATAAAGAAATCATTTAATTACTCTTCCAATCAAGTTCAAGAAAAAAGTGCTAATTCCCCTGTACCCTTGTCAACATCATTTCACATTTCGTACAAAAATTTGAAGCTATAAACAGCACAGACTAATTAAACTATTTAAATTTTGTTAAGCTCAAGCAGTTTGTTGACAGTAAATTGGTCTGTACTTTCTGATTAACAAACTTAATTTTTTTAAGATGAAATGCCCAAAAGAAAAAGAAAAAAATACTGCAAGTTTATCTAATGTGGTGAAGGGAGACAGTCAGTCGTTTTGGTTGAGAGTGAACCACCCTTACTCTAAGCCAGAGACACACCGATAAAACACACTCACTCAGTGGTTCTTTGAAGCAGTACATGTTCCAGTACATAGTGGCACCACTACCTTACTACTTCATGGTTCTTTGGAGGTTCCTGCTTGGCTCCAACTGTCAAAACACTTGGTGAGATGTGGGATTTTGCTGCTGACTCACTGGTGTAACCAAAGCAAACAGAAATACAACCATGCGTGTTTACTTGCTGAGTGTCCTTCTAAGTGAATGATGACAGAGCAGAGTTGCTGTTTCACTTGCCTAACAAGAGTAAATGTCAAGGTAATACTGTAGTTACATAACTTTGATAAAAGCTGAGGATGAGAGTTACACAGCAAACAAGCCTCCCTGTTGCTATCAAACAAAGGTTAACTCAATGTCATAGAAAGTGGGTGCTGGTTTTCTAATTAGCTACAACAGAAGAATGTCTTTTAATACTAGTACTAGTTTCTCAGATAACAGAAGTTAATGTTAGTGTGACTTTTTCGAACCATGTGAAATAGAACCTGCACCTTACTGTGTTGAATTTCTCGTTCCCTACCCTCAGGTTACGTCTGACTTAATGTGAATCTGTGCATATGGGCTTGTGAGTGTTGTTTTCAGCCACACTTAACTTTCTCTGTAATTTTCACAAACATTATACTTGCTAAACTTTTCAGCCACACTTAACTTTCTCTGTACTTTTCACAAACATTACATTATTGAGCCTGATAGCTTTGTCACTATGAGCAGTAACGCTAACAGTAACGCTCTAAGTACATATTCACAGAGATGCTAGCATGTAGACTCACTTGTTTTCTAGTGCAGACCTGGAACACATACATATGAGGATGACGCTGTGTAAACAAGTAGCAGATTGCAAACATGCTGTCACTGTTTTTCCATGTAAAATGGGACAAAGTCTTACAGACAACTGAGCTTATAAAGAAAATATTGTAAAGGTTTTACATTACAAAACTAATCTAGCATTTGTCATTCACTGTAAAAGAAAAAGAAATAATTTAGCTTGTGATGGCTGAAATTGGGAGAAGGCGTTTGGTCCTGTATGGAACATGTATGACAACAGCAGCTGTGGCTGCTCTAAAATTAGGAGCCAATGAACCAGTTTTGTTGTGTTTACATGTAATTAGTTTCACTCTGTAGTGTAGCTCGGTTTATACAAAAACTTTAGGCATCTTCAACCAAGTAAGAGTCATTTTAATAACTTATAATTACATGCAAGTTCTTTACTCTGGCCATGCTTTTCCTTTATTGGTTGCCATGGTAATTCTTGTGGAAACGAAGGAGCTCGTTAGTGATCTCTCTGGCTTTCCCTGCTTTATTCTAATATATGTGCACTGCTTTGAAGACAATGCTTCTTTTGTGGCAGTATGTATGCATTAGCAACAAAATTATGAGGATTAAGAAGAGAATTATAAAACACATATATACCCACTAGAATGTACCACAATGTGATTAGAGGTAATCATGCTGCCATGGCTTAGTAACTGCATAGTCATTGTCAAAAAAGAACAATACAGAACATTTTATCCAGTTATTATTGCTAACTACTGCCAATCTGAAGCTTGGACCTACCCTCAGTGATAACTTCACTCAAACAACAGTGACTTTAGAGAAAGAGGCTGACCAGGGAATTTAGGTAAAAGCTACTATTTGCCACTTCACCATGGGAATGGTGGATGGAGAGAACAGGCAGGAGACAGGGCAAAGAATACAGTCTAAAGGTTAATACCTGCCGGCACATGAACACATGGACACGGAGATACAAATCAACATTAAGAAGTTTTTCCTGTGCTGTGCTCTCAGTGCACAGAGGCCCGTGAGTTTATTTGGATTATGGTAAAATAAATATCATGGAGATTCAGGAGAACACTGGAGCAGGTTGTGCTGTAACAGCACAGAGCAGGATGAGAGTCCTGCTAGATGTGACTGAAGAGTTGTACCATCCTCACCACTAACAAACTGGGCTACTTTTAATCAGTCCAAACTGACAATACTGCTCTGCACATCTCTGCATCACTGATGCATTTTTAATACACACAGAGAATTCATGTTTTGTCTCAACAGATATAATATAGATAGTGTATAGTGTCTGTAGCCATAGCCTTGATAATTATAGAATTATGTTCTTCATTTTAGTGACTATTAAAGGGGTTTGTCACATATGATAACAGTATGTACCACACAATATGGGGTGTCACAGTAAGTTAAGAGAAGCATAATGTGTGTCTGAATCTGATGTTGTAAACCCCACTCATCTGATACTCCACCAACCTGCCCCATAATCTGAGACAGTAAATCCTTAAATAAAACAACAGTTTGATGTCTAGAAAATAGACATAAAATTCCTAATTCTCTCAATTTTTCCTCTTTCAAGCTCTGGAGACAAATCTTCTTCTGATTGTGCACTGAGCAGCCCCCTGTGTGAACTCTATGCCTGGTCCAGGATTATCCCAATGTGACAGCTTTTCAGCCAGTATTCCTCCAGTTTATCATTTAAACGACAGCGGGAGACATTTATCTCCATGGCTTATTGTCTCAGCCATGGGTGCATGACACTTGTCTATTGCCATCAGGGTAATATTCCATTGGTGATTCAGTTCAGCGCTTTGGTCTTCTCTATGTAAAACCCTCTTGTCTCTTATCTGCGTTAGTGGGAAAAGAATCTGATCCCTCATGAATGAAACAAAAGGGTGTTAAGTATCAGAGTTCGATCAATACAATGGTCTGTTGGCAAGTGGCACTCAAGAGGAGCACCAAGAAAGCACAAGAGTGTAACCAGAGAGAGACTGGGGTTAAACTCTGGTTCGTCTTAGTCTGGTGTGGTGCAAGATGCTCCAGAGAGTTCAATGACAAGAGCAGCTGAAAGAACATTTTACTTGATGAAATACCTGAGATCTTCACACAAAAACCCCCTGTACTGTGAGTGTGTCAGTGCTTGCATCTTGTTTAAAATAAAACACAAATCACTTGGTTTTCCTTTTCTGGCTCATTATGAAACAGAACTAGCAGTTAGCAATTAAATATCCAGTGTGTTTTAAATAGAGAAATGTTATAGAAATGTCTTATATGTCTTCCATATATAGTACATAAACTCACTACCAGTCAGAAGTTTGGAGCTAGGGTGTTGTTTTTTATTTTATTTTACTGATTAATTAGTGCAGTATTCCTTTTCAAAGGTTAATTAAATTCCCTTTAATCCTATATTGTAAAACTGGTCAAATATGTGCTTCATTGTTGCAGTGCTGAGATTCTCTTTGGTAAATGCCCTTTATCACCAGTTTCTGTTTCACAAAACATGACTAGTCCTTCCCATGACAAGCAAACTAATCATAACCTATGACATTTGTGCAAGGTGGATTGTAGATGTATTTTTAGACTGTGCTAAACCTATGACTTTTTCAAGTCTCTGCTCATTTATGTTGTTTTTGTTGCCATGGAGCTTATAACTAGAGTAATTTGCAGTTGTTTTTTTTACCATTAGTTCTGAAGACATTCTGTTCTTAAACCTTTGACTTTCTTAACATTGTCTATAACTGCTTTCTCACATCTGTCCTATTTGCTAATTGGTAATGTGTGAAAGAATTGCACGTCTCTTATTTTTATTGTTCTCAGTGCTTTCTTGATGAAGACATCTTGAGCTCAATGATGAGTTCCCACTCAAATAAAAGAAAGAAATTAATTGTGTTTTGTTCACTGTTCAGTTGAATACACTGGTAAAGAACAAAAGATTGAATGGGGATCAGAACTCCACATGACCTTTCAATCTTATTATTTCCTTCAGAGCTGAAATAAAAAATTATTACTTTACTATTTCTAATTTTCATTTCAGGCCTTCAGGCAATATTTATGTCATGTTTTAATTTCTTTTGGCCCGGTTTTTAATGCAATTTTAATTCCCGTTGTATGTACCTGAACATGATAATGTGCTACTGTATACACGACCAAATGCACCTTTCTCTCCTCACTGTGCAACATTATTGGCTGCTCACATTGTACTGAACATCCAGTGTCAAAAAAAAGAGAGAAATGAACACAAATTTTAATGTTTCTGCTTGAGTAAGATATCCAGTCATTCAAAGTCACAGGCTTAAGTTTAAGTGAAGTTTAAGTGACTTCGGGCCAAGTGGTGTTTTACAAGTGTTTTTTGACTGTCAAGTCAATTCATGAGTGTAAACCTCTAAGTTTGCTCCTGAAAAGTCTTATTTTGGTCTATCTACGGGCACCATGCTGCTTTTCTTGGCAGCAGCACACACAAAATCAAAACCAAACAGTTGTACGCTTCAAGGTAAAAGCCTTATAATATTTGCCCAAAGCCTTGAGATAAAAAGAGAAGCCAGGAACAATCATTAGTAAAACATCTCTACCCAAACATAACAGTCACCCAATATGCACAAATGCTCACACAGGCAGCAATACCTTGGAGTACAGATATATTCGGTCTGTGTGCTGGCTGGCACAGAACTGCAGGCCCAGGTAGACGGGATAGACAGTGCTGGCATCATCTTCATCCTTGCCCTCATCATCGTCATTAGCATCAGCAGCTGAAGACAAACACGCTGCAGCTCTCTGGTCTGCAGGGAGAGAGGAAGAGGCTGACTAATATCTCACTGACTATATATTATTGGCTCATTATTGGCTTTCACAGCTTTATTGGTGCCTCCGTTTGCTCCTCTGGTGATGCAATGAGTAGCAGAGAAATTAAACTCCAGCTGCTTGTAAGATTTCTTATACAGAGCCCAATATTCAGAAGCTATGACATTTGTAGGAGATCATTCAAATATTTATGCATATGCACTACATGTTTGAAAAAATGACATTATATTTCTAGTTACTGCTTTCAAACACTTGATTATAGAAATCTGAAATGAAAATGTTGAAGTAATCATCTGTGACCTTTGTATATGAACAGGAATGAAAGTCAGTTTTGCTTCTTGCTACCACCAGTTGATATAATAATCTACCTACATGTGAAGGTCAAAACATTCTGCTTTCCTGTGTTATATCTTTCGAAAAGCAGCAAAACCAGGTTGTTGCATCTTGTTTAGTGTGACTTGTTCAACATTTTGTATAATGTCTGCTTTATTTTTAGTGAGTCCAATGAGGTTGATATCTCTCTCATGTCTCTGAAGACATTTTCACACTTGAACTCCGGACTGTGTATACGGAATCTGCTCCAGATTTTGTCTACAGTTCACACGCGTAGCACACAAACATGTCCATTCGGTTTATGTGGTAACGTCAGAGCCTGCTGGAGCCGGGACCTGACACACTTTGTAATTTGGTCATAAACAAACCGGCTCTTAACTACAGAAGTTCCCAAATCTCGTCGTGTCTCCAGTTACATATTTTCACTGGCACCTTCATTGTAAATGACTATTCTTCTTCACCATCAGATGTTTGCATTCCTCTGGTTTTGCGCCGGTCACGATAGAACCTAATCAATACGCCCACTAGCTCCATGCGAGTATTCCAGCCTATAAGCTGCTCTAGAAACCTCCCAATTTATTTTTCTCAAGTTCTGTCAAGAATTTGCTGAACAACAGGATGGAAATGCACTCAGAGAGCAAATATAGAGAGGATGTGATAAAATGACAGTCACAGATGGAAAAAGAAGAGAGAGAGCAGGTCATTAATGTCAGCTATGTAGCTCGCTCATGCTGCCAGCATCTAGCAAGAAAAGGTCAGGCGGTGGAAATGAGACTGCCGCTGCTCGACCACGCTTCATTTAGACAATGACCTATAACACTCTGATAATACTTGCCTTAAATCACTTCGCATGGCCAGTTGTCAGTATATATGTGTGTGTGTGTGTGAGAGAGAGAAAGAATGTGTGTGCATCCATTTGGCTTTCTAATGGACAAAAATACGGACACAGGCCGATGTCTGTCACATCCATCCATCGAACAAGTGCTGCCATGTACCCGCACCGGGTCTCTGGTGGTTACGGGACATAATCGGCTTTTGTAATGAAACACTGAGAGGGTTGAGTGACAGAGGAACATACTGGAACAAAGACATCACTCCCATCAGGCTTTAAAGTTGGGCCAGAATCAGTGTTTGGGATGTCAACCCACATGAGTGAAACCTTTCAATATCATGGTATCATGGCTTTGAAAGTCACATAGGAACTACTTTGAACTGTATCCATGAGATATTAAAGGCCCTGCATACAACACTGAAAACTCCTCGTGATACCCACTTTTAAGACAAACTTTGCATCAGTTTTGCTGTGACTCGTGGATAAACATGGGCAAGTAGATGACATTCACCTTTAGTTTTATGGGCAATTCTTCATTCTTCAGACTTGGTTTATCTGAACAGCATACTGAAGCAGAGCTTACATACAGTACCAGACTAAGGCCTTTATTTAAATTTCATGGCTTTCATGGCTTGTCTTGATAAATTCTGCATGCAGTACATTTCTGCAGCACTAATTCTATCAGTACAACAACAGAGCCATATCATACTCCTCTGCTGCTCTGAAATAATCTTTTTAACGCTGTTTTCATTCACTAATTAATCGCAATTAATTCTGTCTTGATGTGTTTGGATTGATACTCCAAGTCCCATTTGAGAATTTACAGTTGATACAGTGCACCACTGGTTTATCACTACATTACTGGGATGTGATTTGGTAGATATATATATATATATTTATTTTATTTTTTTTTGCTGTGAGGGAGAATCATCCTAATAAGTTATTTTCTTTCTTTGACCTATCCGGTACAATGTCCATATCTTTCATTTTTATGTTTGCCCTTCTTATAGGTGCAATTTTCCTGTGTCTGGTACATGCTGTTCTGATCTCACCCTGACTTCAGCTGCAATGAACCAATTTGTGTCTTAAAATATCCAGATGACTAGATGAAAGCACTGTGCAGAGCTAAAAACCTGGAACCAAAACATTTCTAGGACACTAGCATTTCACAAAATCCCATCTATCTGTCCTTCCACATCTGTAATAAAAACTAGAAGCTCTGCAATGTGCACCCTATATTTGTTGTAAGCAGTTTTGTCCCCCCTCTTTGCAGTGGCGGAACGCAGCAGCTGCATTAAGTGGGCCATTTATACGATGGGGGCAATTCATCTTACAAAGCCGTCTTATTAGACTGTCACTTACACAGTATGAACAGTGCCTTCAAAACACCCCAAGGGATTTATCTGTTATTTTACTGCGAGAGGAAGAAAACAACGCCTAATTGGACTGAGTCATCTCATCTTCTGCAGGATCGAAACAAAAGACATGAAAAAAAGCCAATTCTAACTGCAGTCTTCGAACGTGAAGAGGTTTGGTGTAGCTGACACTGCTGAAAAATCTGAACTAACATTAAAAAGCATGTATCCGTGTTTAAATGTTTGGGTCACACAGAGACGATGCGACAGTGCAGAGAGAGAGAGATAGAGAGGTGGAGGAGTGATTGCCTGTCTGTGCTCTGAGGAAAGTAATCTCAGAGCAATCAAGAGGTGGGGGCAGCCGACAGCTCTGCGGTTTGCCTTTTAAAAACCACGAGCAGGTAGAGGAAAATCATTAGGCACTGCTCATGACCCCATAGGTCACTTTTATTGGACAACGCTGTGTTTCATATTAAACTCACACTACCAGAAACAGACTGGCAATGTCATGTAACTAACAGAGTGACTAACCAGCAGCAGGATGGATGTACTGAGAGACAGCCAGATAAACACACAGAAAAATGACAACAAAGACATACAGAAACGGATGACAGAAAGACACTGACACACAGAATAGACAGACAGACAACAGAAAGATAGAAATTAGCTGCCTCTAGGGAAAAGTACATGTCTAAAAGGGACGCAGGGGGCCAAGTAGGCCTCCAGCAGTGTCTCTTTAGTGCTGCCATTTCTGATCGACAGTGAAGCTTTTATTTCTCCCCTAGAGTCGGTCTAAATAGATGTTTTTTAAAAAAGAAAGCAGACCTTTCATTCACCTTTAGTATTTTTCCACCTGAGACTAGACAGGGGAGACACAGAGTGTTGAAGGCACTGCAGGGGAAGCTGCAGCAGGATTCAGTCCAAGGGTGTTGGGGGCCACAGGTAGCTACAGAGACAGGAAATTAACCATTCGAAAATCTCTGGGCACTAATAGATGTCAAAGTGTGTCTAAGGGTGCGCATGTGGCTCTGAAAGAAAGGGAATCTGCCAAGTTGCTGCACACTGATCTTGGGATACTAAAGGGTAACAGGGGTTGATAGCTTTCCTAAATGGGTCCTTCTGTGCTAAGTATTCTGCAAGGCTTTAAAAACAGCATTTAAATGATATCAGCTCGGGTTCATCCTTCAATAAATCTGGTCCAAAACGTCTGCCTACTTTAAGAGGTAACACCCAGGTCACGGGCTTTTCTTAGACTCTGCTAGTCTAGCAGTTTTTTAGAGCTCTTCATATTACACACAGCATAATTAGTTCTTTGTGATTAGTGCAATTTATTGCTTTGCGTATCCCTTTGAGACACAAGTACTCGAACAAAGGTCTTAATTTGCAATATTACACGCTGTATAATTGGGAATTTGTTTCCTCGCATCCCTCCAAGACTCACAGACATGTACACATACGGTAACCAGAGTGGACGGGTAAACAGGTTGTGTTTCAAGCATCAGTTGGTGCAGGGAGGAAACCTGTGCCTTGTGTAATGACACTTTAGTCCACATTATTATAAACAACCAATCAGAAGCTCATCACTTACTGTACCTGCTGGGCAATGATCGACCTTGTGTGTACTTTGATACTCTGAGTAGGTTAACTTGTTTCAACAAGCTGCACTCTGGAGATTAGAAGGTTTACTCAATCTCCTGCAAGCTTCCTGCGTGCAGAAATAGGCAATATGCCCAACTAGATACTAATAAAAGTAAGAATAATAATGCCTAGCCCCATATGGAATGAGTTATAGTGCCTTATTGATTTGAAATGGTGATATTAAACAGCATTATATGGGCAGGTGACAATGCGATACCAGCCAATTTCCCTAGATATGAAAAGGAGAAGATTGCAGGTGGGATTACCCTGTGTGTGGTCTGGGGGGAGTGAGCTGCCACTGTCAGAAACGTTGTCACCTCGCTCTCCGTCTGATTGTTTGTCTTGGAGCCGCCACTTGTCCTTGTCCTCTGCTTCTCCTAGTTTCTGTTTGTCTTTCAGAGGCTCATCCTCCTCCGTCTTCTCTTCCTCCTTGCTCTGTTTGTCTTTGCACGATTTCAGAGGCTGGGTTTCTCCCCCGCTCAGCTCTGGCTCACTGTCAGAGTAGGAGAAGACGATGCATGCCTGGCCACTCTCAGTTGAGGGGGGTTGCTGGGGCCTGGGTGGCTCTGAGCCAGCAGAGAAAGAGAGAGAGAAAGATGAAGATTACATTATTGGCTGAGTTGCAGAGTGTAATCAGACTTCGAAGAGTTTCGTTCCCGGGTGAGATATCCATCATCTGAAGAGTGCAACAGTGTGACAAAATGACTGCTGACATGACAGCAAAACTCAATATGGCTCATTAGTGATGTTATTAGCTATCATAAGTCCTTTACTGACAATTTTAGAGGATGTGAGCGTGTACTGTGTAGAGACATATGCAGGGATTTAGCGGAACACACCCGCCCATTTTAAGAGGATGTTGATCTTTACAAGTTAGCATTTATAGTGCACATAAAACCTTTTTAATGAATGTTTTTTTTTAGCAATCAGATGATGTATTTGCCGATTGCTGCACACTGACCACTAGGTGAAGGTGGACAATGCTGGGCACATTTTAGCCTGTAGCTGCTGCTCGGCAGCACGTCAGCAGATTATGTTCATGTCACATTGTTTTGTTAATTGCCCGCTGCATCATGTGCAATCAAACCTAAACAAAATAATTAGCGATTGCTGCATCTGTGCACTCAGGCAGTATTTAAACAGCTGAGAATGGTGGACTGCCAGTCTCAGATCTTGCTTTGAAGAATCAACTAATGGCACCTTGATCCACAGTTCCACTCAAACTATTCATGTGAGTTTCACTCATGCATACATGCGTGAATGTTGCAATTCCGTGAAGGTCAAGCAAAAAAACTAAGTCACAAAAATGTTAATGAATGCAGGGATTATGCCATCACCTTTCACAGACAACACACATGTTAAAATGATACTTTTCAGTTTTAGCCTGAGGCAGTGTCACTCATAAAGATTCTGGTAGTGCTGACGTATGTATCAAGGTAAAATTAACAGACAGATTAACTTCTAAAAGACAAGAGCTCAGTTATTTATAGAAAAATATAATTTCTAACTTTCAGTCTGAGCAGAACTTCTTCAAGAGAAGTGTTATACAATTCCTTTTCCTATTTTCTAAGTTAAAATTAAATCATATTCTATCACATATTTGTTGAACCTGAGGTGTGAACTCCAACACGACAGGAAGTTGTGAGACTCGGGGATGCAGAAGGCTAATTAGTGAGCCTACCTCTCTATGGTTTGTTTCTTCAAAAGGCCAGCCTCTAGTCGGCTTCCTGAAATGTCATCCGAGTCTCCAGGCTCCTGGCCCCACCGCTGCCCCCCTTCGCTAACAAGCCGAGCGAGACCGTGGAGAGACGGCTCAATTTGTGTTAAGCTGTCCCCACCGAGGAAGATGTTAACAGGGAAATCCTACAGGGCCGTGCCTCGACTTTACTAGTCAACCCCCTTTTTTTCCCCTGCAATCAGGGCCACATTATGTTTGTAGTGGCTTGGAAAGGTTCCACAAGTAAGTCTCAAATCCAGACACACAAGCACACTACTATACACAAACACATTCAAAAAGCATGTGACCTTAGGCATGAACCGAGACATCACATAAAAAAAAAATAGCACGACCGGTGGAATAAAACAGGAAAAGCTTTTATTGCAGTCTGCAGGGAGTGAAACAGTTGCAGGCTGTGACAAAGTATCAGAGGAAACTGCTGAATCCTCAAATGATATATGATATTTAAGACTCAACTGGACTGTGTTGTTAAATGCTAAAAACTCGGAGTAAAAAAATCAGCACAGGGACAGAGTGCTCGCTGAGAGATGCAAAGAGCCAGGGTATAATCCTGTATACATCTCTCACAGTAGGTGCTGAGAGACAAATTGCTGGTCTACTGGTAAAAGAGCTGAAGGAGTGAACCATGCCCACGCTCTTGGCCCAAAAAAAGCTGCAAACACAGGAACTCAACACCGCTGATTCAACCCGAAAATGGCTGAACAGAAGCTGTCTGGATGTTTACTGGTGCTAAATCAGCTACAGGAAACAGTTCAAACTACCCCACCTGAGACACCAAACCCTGTCACTGAAGGAGCAAACAATTTAAATATGACAATTTAATTAAAAATAAGTCTCCTCGACTGACAACAGTGATTCACTTTGTATCCAATTAATGAAATATGCTGTTGACTAAGTTGCCCTTCCTGCCTCACAGGAAATCATGAGAACTAATATTTGTTATTCAACATACTGTTCCAGCTGTACTTGTATATTCTATCTGATTTAACAAAAATTGTTTTTAAAAGTTCTTCATATGTTTTGTTTGCAAACATCTTACACAACAAGCTTCAGTACTAACCACCCAATGATAAAGATTTGCTTTTCCTTCTCATTTCATGCATCTCACTGTGTCACATTCTGCTGCCCTTCACTTTGGTACACCTCATGGTACAACAGACCAATATCCATCTGCATGCTGACTCTTCTTCCTCTAGCTGCTGCTACAACCTGGTGCATTTTGGCCATACTGCTCAAATCCACAGACGGTGCAAATGTCGGTGATATTGCTTCCCCTATTACTTTATACTTGATAGTGTTGTATCATGTGTTGGTATCATGATTCCCTGCGACATGCCTTAATGGCAATTAGACGACTTGTGACGCAGTGTCACATCTTGCTTTATATTTACTGTACTGTGAGGAATAGTTTCTCATATTGAGATGACATCCCTCATATACCGTAGGCTCTGACTTCGTTATTCACTTACATTTTCACAAGCTGAAGACTGCAGCGCCAAGTTGAGAGATATCTCCATAAATACAGTTGTTATTTTTCAGCACAGTATGTCATTTACAAATTTAGCAGGTTGTTAAATTTGTGTCTAGCGAGCTGACACAGCCTGCTGCTGTGAATGCAGAGTGGTGCGTGTGACAAAGAAGAGTGTGATTGCTGAATAGTTATCAAGCATCTGCTGCAGCTGAACATGAAATGGGTGTGCATTTTGTTAAAAAAATGTGTGGGTGGGTGCCTTTGTGCCTCTCAAAGACTGAGGTAACTGCTTGTATGAACTTTGTGTTTTAAGCGCACCAGCCTCACTTCCACTGGACCAAGCTGCAAACAAACCTTTTCACAGCTGATACTTACTGTGTGCTTATACTAAATATAGATCATGCATTAGCATAAAGAGACTTGAGAGTCATTAACTGAATGTTAACATATAAGAAATGTATTACTGTATGTTACTTAATGTCAAAATTTTGCAACATCATATTCTTTACTGGCTTTTCAATTAATAAATCAGCCTTACTACCTGCTGGTACCAGTGGATTTTCAATGGGAGGCTATGTTGCTACAAGATGCAACAAGAGCAACATTTGTTGAATGTGGGTAGATACGTGTCTGAACTTAAATTACAAGGCATTTAATGTCAATGCCACCATCAAATTCAGCACAACTTCTTGAATTAAATGAAGCACTAAAACTAATGCTGCCTTAATGTCACTGCTGCTGAAGCCGAATCGAAATTTTGGGGTATTTTTTAAAGTCATCTCTGAGCCGATCTGATGCATCTCAGACATTTAGAGTGTGGACCTGCAGCCTGCCAGGTCATAACGACTTCCCCCCTCTCTTTTGCAAGATACAATCATAGGCTGTCAGAGATATCAGCTAGAGCCAGCTCAACTTTCTCCTAACTTTGTGCGAGACATTTGCAGCAATAGTAGGTGCATGTTCTCTCTCTCTCTCTTAGCTTGACAGGTGAGAATTATACTGTGTCCTTGTCATCTGCAGAGAGAGAGAGGGAGAGTGAGACAGACCATATTCTCGCAACAGCGAGAGCTATTTCAGACTCTGGCAAGCCTGGCTCCATCTTTCACTATCACGCATCTCCATCTGGTGAAATCTGTAATGCTGTTCAAAAGTATTATGTCAAAAGAGCGCCACAACTGATATTGATGGCAGGAAAAATAAACCAATGAATGGGTTTCAGCTTAATATCAATGTCATTTCAAGCAAGACATGCTGGAATTATTGTCTTTTTTTTGCTAATGAAATCCAGTTAGTTTTGAAATCTGTGAAATGAAGTTTGTGAATTAATCAAAAAGAAATAGTGGAACGCAGGCAGACATGCGCAGTAGAGGATGACAGATAAGATGATTTGTTATTATTTGTTTGTAAAGCATACCTGCACTGACAGCAGATGAAGAGTGCGGGAACTCGCACATCTCGCAGTAAGGCAACAGGCTGCTGTTGGAGTACGTGCAGGCCCCACAGTTCCACATTTCAGTTGAAGGGTCAGGCTCCAAAACCGTCTGTGGGGCCATGGGGGAGACCAGAATGCTAGGGGCCATCAACCTCCTCTTCCCCCTGAATCGAGACCTCAGGCTCGGGCTGGACTGTGGCGTCCGCAGTCTCTTCAGCTGGGGGTAAAAGTCCGGGTCGAGCGTGGCAGGTGTTTGTGCGCAGGACTTTTCTTTCTTCTCCTCCCTTTTGTCAGAGTTTGTTCCACTGCCAGTCAGTGCGGTGGTCATCACTGAGGAGGTGGAAGGAGATGCTTCCTCATCCTCTGTTCTTTTTCTCTTCTTCTCTTTGCTGGTGCTCGGGGAGAAGAAGGAACGAATGTTGTGCTGCTTCTCCTTCTCAAACTAGAGAAAAAGAAGCAAGATCAAGTTCATTTTAATCTCCACAACACACAGTTAAGACTAATTTCATGCTTAACAGCCATCTGCAATTGACCTGTAAAGCAACACAACATCCATGACACTTTTGTTGTCATTGTCACAAGGCAATAATTTACAGTAAAAAAAAAATTAATTACGCTTTGATAAAACTACAAAGCAACATTTTCTGATGTCAAGTTGTATCCTGGTAACACAGAAAAAAAATTATGAAAACTACTTGATGACAAGTAATAAACAGGCACAGAAAAGTAATATAATTTTTTTACAAAAAAAGGGATCGTACCTGTGTGTCAAAATCTACAAACATATGCACCCAATAAAACTGAAAGTAAATGCACTTTGATTATGATAATTGAAAGATGATGTATTCAGCTTCAAAGGCTAGAAAAACAGGTCATTCTTCCATCTCAGGTATGGCTTTGTATTTGCACATTCTCAAGGTTCTTACATGCAGCTTTCTCTACAACAACAGGATTTAAATTTTCTGCCTTCTTATATCAAAGCTTCCTCAGATATCAAACATACATTATCATATACTGCATGTACAGTATATGTAAAAAACTAACAAAACAACTGATATGACCATTTATGAGATCATATGACAAAAGATTTATGCTCACTGCCTTGTGTATGATACATAGCGTGTACTATTATTTGCCAAAGGACTGGGTGAAAATCAGCAGCCTAGCTATACATCATTGTTGATATTTCTTTTTTATTCTCTTATGAAAACAAGGCTTCACTACAGTTGTTTTTGGGAAACTCTTCTAGGTGACTCACATAAGTAAAGAACACATCATCTTTCACATTTCCTGTGTTTCCCTCCAGTGGCAGCACCAGTTCACTTGGTGTCCATGCGCTGGCAAAGCTGAGGAAGTCCCACTTGTCCTTGTCACCCATGTTGGCCTTCAGGTATTCCTTCCTGCCATTCAGGGTGCTGCCAGTCACGGTTTCCTGGGAGAAAAAAGAACATTCAGCCTTCTTCTTTTCATATTTCAGTCTGGTTTCTTCTTGTCATAAATCACATCAGTTATGCAATGAGCAGTATCATATTTTAGGGAAATAGCTCAGATTAATTACAACATCTTGACATCTCTGATTATTAATGTTAATCTCCAAAGCCTGCTCTCACATACAAATGAATTTCACTGATGCTTATCAGTTTATTCATGCATGAAGAAATGTGTTTTAAACAAGGTTTGCATAGATGTATTCTCCATAACAGATTGTAGAAGCTGATCAATACAAGAGCAATAAAATTGAGATTATATCAGTGATTTATCATTCAAATTAAATGTGATATGAGTAAGTGCTTAAGTGGCAGAACATGTGGCAAAGAATCAAAGGCTCAGCAAAGGTTTCTCACAGCCTTCTGCCATGACGTCAACGCACAGTACCTTCCTATTAAGCATGGACCACATGACGGTGTCAAAGGTGCCCTTGGCAATGAGGTAGTGCACATTGACAGAGGACGTTTGCCCGATGCGGTGGGCTCGATCCTCAGCCTGCTTCATGTGGCCGGGATTCCAGTAGAGCTCGGCAAACACCACGTGGCTGGCAGCGGTGAAGGTCAAACCCTGGAGAGGACAGGCAGAAACACACACACAGACTAATAATAACCCAATCAGAACAAAAATATCTCATTCACTCACCTCAAATGGGTCACTCCAACCCATTTCCAATGAAATTTCATGTGGGTGAAAGAATGTTAGCAGCTAATATAAGTGCTTTGAGCACCAGCATCCTTTGACTGGAACATATGATAAGTCTGCACATATTGGTTCACATGGAATAACCAATAACAGCGAGTTTAAGTTTGTTATTAAAACACATTTTAGCATTTATTTTTATTTCCACAAACCGTAATTATGATTAACTACAACCAATAACAGTTATCATTATTACTAATATGCAATAAATGGACTAGTTAGCCCATTTTTGTTGCAGTACAGTGCTACAGCATTCATTCATTACCCTTACAATGAACAGGCGCTCAGGCAGTCTGTAGGAGCAGTGACAGTAAAGACACACACAAACAGAGGACAGTTGTGTTCATCGAGTTCATTCAATTAAAAAGGATTTGCGCCAACTCTTTTGGTCTTTATTAGATATTTCTGCAAATGAAAATGATTTGTCAGCGACTGTTCCAGGTCATTACACCAAGTGTCTTTATTTGAAAAGCAGATTTTATTTTCAGCTAGAAGCATTAATTCAATGCCTGTTTTATTGTCCCCTCAACGTGAGTTTACTTTATCACTTAACTAAAATTTTAAAAACTATGTTTGGTTATGGAATGTCTGTGTTTGAGAGTACCTGACCAGCTGCCAGAATGCTGAGGATGGCCACCCGTGTCTCCAGGTCACTCTGAAACTTGTGGACCAACTGGATTCGTTCTGAGGATGGGACACTGCCATCAATACGGATGTAGGCAGCCTGTGTGAACAGATGCCAGACACCAGAATCTTTACTTTTCAGAGAAAAATTCTGATGACAGATGAACAGCGCTAAACCAGGCAGGGGAACACCTGCCATGTGCACAGCTAATGGAATGCCGGCAACTCAGGAATCTTTGAGAGAAATGGGTTTTAAATCATTTCTGTGTGACTGAGAGGAAAATAGCTTTAAAGAATTTGGGGCTTTCTTGTATCAACAATGGATATAATGGCTATGTGTAAATTGAAAGAGGTGGCTTCTAATAATGAGCCCAGAGAGAATTATCTCTCAGTTCTCCAAGGGGAGATGTGTGGTTTCTTCGTTCCAAAGTTACATAGCCTCACTTTAAAATTCAACATAATTCCAACTTTAAAGGCCAGATTAACAAAGTCTTTTCTGCCTAATTGAGACCTCATCTTATTTATTGCAGGTACTGGCCTGAAAGTGTAGTTAGGCTGTCATTTTGATATGAACCTTTCTCCTTTATGCATGGAAGGATTGTGCAAATAATTGGAGGAGATACTGTAAGTGTGGTTGTTTGCACATTTCATTGAATTAACTAAAGCTTCACACAAGGCACAAGGAACAGTATTGCCTGCCTTTAAAAAGCTGGTGCAGATTTGTGCATGAACATTAAAGGATGGGGCCATTTCATTATCCTGTATTCTATACTGTAGCTATTTCAATGACAGATGTGTGAATGAAAGCACAATAAAAAAACCCTGAATTGGTTTCACTAAACAGAGAGAAGATGAGCACAGCAGTAATAACACGAACTTGTACAACACCAAACAAAGAGAGCAGTGGATGTTCATTAAACCTGAACTTGAACTTGACATTCACTGAACTGCTAATGCACTGTGGCGACTGCACTCTTTTGATTTTGGTCCACCGGTCATGCAGAGCTGCTCAGTGGTTGTCAGTAGGAGAGTGTGTTCATACTGTGCAGCTCCCATGTGAGAATGTAACTGCATGAATTTGAAGGAGAACCTTGCTGAGACAGAACATGGAGATCTGTTGACTTTTCCTGGAAAAATAAATGTCAAATAAATGTGCTCATGGAGAACAGAGATTTAAACAACAACATCTCAAGATCCCCCTGTGATTTCAACAGTCCTCGTGTCTTGTATTTAGTGCCCTATATTTACTAGTTTAAAACATTCACAACTTTATTCAACAAACCCTACAACCAGTTCAACACCAGGTGAGAAATGGGAAAGTGTGGAGCACAGAAGCAGTGATAACGTCAGGTGTCTCTGCAGAGACTCTCATCACAGCACGTTGCCTGTCGTTCCTGTTTTTAGCCCATCTCTGTTAATTGGTGAGTGCGAACGCACCAGAGAGTGAGCGTCTCACAAAAGAATGTGCTATCACACATCGTACCGCTGCACTGCATTGAGCCGACACCTCCTTGACCCCTGCAACACACACATCCACAAACACACACTTCAACTCCTTCGCAAGTTGACGGCGCCGAGCTTAGAGATATCGGTTGCTTGTGATGACTTGTGAAATATGCCTGGGGAGATTAGTTGTGGAAGTAAAGTTTACTTTCTGAGGGAAAGAAAGATTTTTCTTCAACGGTGAGAAAACATGTAACGCACTTAGATGATGATTAACTGTTAACTAAAGTTATGTTTTGTTGTGTGTCCAAATATAGATTTGTTAATTATCTAAACACTGCACCTGACTAAACACCTGAAAAACAAGTTATGACTTCTAACATCTGCTGTGCTCTATATCCCCACAGAAGCACAACACAGAGTTGTGAGCTTGGAGCTCAGTCTTATGTCTGAGTTAATCACAGATATGGCAGGGATTTGATTTATAAAAGGAATAAAGCCTAAATATGAGGTCGATTACCTCCGGTTAGCCAGGAAGGAGAAGTGAAATATGAATATATTCTGCACATTTAGCACTTCCAGTTTACTGTTAATGGGCAATTAGGATTTCTGCAGCTGGAAAAAAAGTTTAAAATCTTAAATGAAAATGACAGAAATGAACATTTGTGCCAAACTGACACCTCAACCATATAAAAACAGTGTTCCCTCCTGTTGCAAAATGATTTATAGTGCAAGAATAACACAAATGATACTTTTTCTTTTTTTTTTTTACAAAATCCTGGAGGTTTTGGAAAACAAGACTGAAGCTTTTTAACAGCATTGTGTTATAAATGCTTGGGACCTACATAGGACTCTGGTTTTCTGTCTGATCATAGCTGAGAAAAGCTTGGGAATTATGAACAAAAAAGAAACCCAATGGTTAGATAAGTGCCATGATGTTAAACTGACAGCTGCAATTTCTTCACATACATTCTCCCGCTTTAAATGGCACAATGCACATTCAGTAAAGCATAAAGAAATGAAAACCTATTAGAGATTATACTGACAAATTCTAATATTCCAATTGGCTGTAGACTCTTGTAGGATTGATTATATTACTAGTAAAGGATTAGTCATCATGGTCCACACAGATGTAGTAGTCATGTATGTTAAATATGACCGAGCAGTCATATTTGTCTGACCCATCCCCATCAGCATCACTACCCTCAACCCCTGCAGGTACCTGGAACTTATATTTATTTATCACCTTCTGATCAAATGAATTCAGTGGATTCATGGTAATGGATATACAGTATGTGATGTAATGGTGCATATAGTTCCTGCTGTGAAAAAGACACTGCCCATGCATTCATACAGTACATACAGCTAGAGCAGAGATACATGCATAGTAACATCCTTATGTATCTGGGGGCAGAGAGACAATGATTTCCAGAGGCTTCATGCCACTGAAGCTCTATTTCCTACAAATGCTCCTGCAGCCATTGCTTACTACGACTTTAACATGTTTTAGAAGACCCAGTTGCCTGCCTGCGGTTACCTTGGCCTCGATGACGGCCTCAGTGCAGGCTTGCAGCATGGTGAGGTGGTGGGCGAACACCAGGAACTTCAACTGCTCTGTCTCCAGCATCATCTTAATGTAGTCCTTCACAGCTCCCGCCTGGCCACACACAGATACAGATATAAACACAGATGAAAGAGAGCTACTGAATCCATCCTTGGTTGACCACACATGGAGGAATCGGCTAGATCAGTGAAGAAGTCAATTAATCACCGTGGCATCCTTTCTGTGTGATCGATTCTCTATTGAATGCCAGCGATCCAGACTTTAAAGGAGAGAGCACACAGAGCGACTGGGGCGCATTTGTCAGCTCGTAGACAGTGAGAGCAAATCAATAACTCACAACTTGGAGATATGATTGGTGTGTGCTCTTTTTGTGGATTTTACTGACACCACATAAAAGAAAATTCACCTTTTAATTCAAAAAACAACTAGATGAATCCCAGAACTGACCAACAACCTAATAAAAAAAGTTTTTTTTCAAATGTGTTAATGTATAAAAAAAAATGACATCAAAATAAAATGTCTATGACATAACTCAGCCTTTATTGTCATTTCAACCATATACAGTACCAGGTACACACTGAAATGAAATTTCACATTTCTAGAACTATAGTAAATATATTAAGGATAAAAGAATACAGTAAATAGTGTTCATAAAAAAAACCCAAATACATACTGTCTAGAAAAAGCAGTAAAAGCAAAAACAATTCAAAAGTGCATCTAGTGCTGTCATTAAGAACAAGTAGCCAGAATTCATGGCTTCCAGGTCATATTGTGTGTAGTTCAAGGTGCTTTACTGTTGAACTATACTGATGAGACTCTTTTTGACAGTTGATGTTGTAGTGGACTGACAAATGCTACTCAAATTCACCATTGTGTGTTCAACACTTTATGTGACTGCACTCCCTTAAACTCATACATTAGGCACATATACCTGTCGAAGTGACCACCGCAGTCCAAAATTACCGCAGTAAGTAAAAGTTCAGTTCTCAGCTATTTTATTCCAAGTTGCTGGCCTGTTTTTTCCTTATATAAGCCTGTTTTTATTCATGCCTGGTGTTTTTCTACCTGTTAGTCTTGTTTTATTTATGAAGTCATATGGAAATAATGCTTTAAAAACATCACAGTTCAAATTTAACAGCATCTTGTTTGTTTCTGCTGAAGCCTCCGACCTTGATTGACAGCATGAAGCTAAGAATGCAGAAACGAAAGAGGCAGAAGTACAGCTGAGTTAACTGTACCCTGCAGGTATCTGTATCTATCATTTCAATGTGCGCTGCTGCTCGGTGATCATGCTGTGATGGCTGTGGCCGTTCCTGCTACCTTCTGCAAAGCTGGAGTGGATGTGCTTTATGAGCGTGTCATTGAGCATCCGGGCTTGGCTCATTTCAGAGCCCCAGGCCAAAAAGCAGCCAAGAATAGCACCAACTAGTGAGAAATACTGAGGTTTGATTTGAGTCAAACAGAGCCCTTACTGGACAGTTTCAGAGACAGGCCTTTCTCCGTGGTGTGAATCCCACCCCTGTAATCTCCAAACCTCCTGCAACCTGACAACCTCTGCAGCCATCACACCTGCTCTGGTGGGAAAACCTCTGCTTCGCCTTGCTGATAATTAGCCAATGTGCCTGATAATGAATCTCTCTGCCAGGCCTGCCGACCCTCTTCTGATCTGGGGGGTCCTCATTACTGACGGCTTGGCTTTGCTGGCTTCCTTCCACTGAGTTTAATTAGTGCACAAACTTCTCGGCTGTCTGAAACAGTCCGTTAGCTTGCTTTAAAGTCCAGCATCAGAGCTGTCCTCTCTGGGTAATTGGGAGCAGATGCTTGGCGGGTAAAGCAATAAAAACACCCCAAAGGCATTTGGCAGCTCCTTCACCAGGCAGACTGGCAGGCACGCAGGGGCCATGATGCTCGTCAGAGTGACATAGATATCTGAATCCATCATACCATCCCACCCCACCTGATGATCCAAAAGAAGAAGAAAGAGCAAGTTTTTTTTTCTGTAGTAGAAAAAGTGTGTCCGACTCTAAAACCGACAGGAAATGAGACTGGGCAGGCAGTATCGGCTTTGAGGTGGGTGAGTGGGTGGGGGGCTTTGTAATGAAAGAAGGTTCAGTGTTAGGCTAAACTGAGCAGAAATCCAATCAGCAAACAATGCGAAGTGCAAAAAAAAGATCCAGGCTTGGAGGTAGGCTGAGAGAGTAACGTGTCAATGATTGCATTTGGTGGTTATCTCCGGTCTTCGTTAACCTTGAGGCCACACTCCTTGTGGCCTAGGGCGATGGGCTAATTGAGAGGAATGCCAGTCATCAAACATGGCAGATACTATATCTGGTGGAGGTGTTTACTCAACTATAAATATAAGAGACTGCGGAACTGTCTCTTTTTTGACATCAAGATTAGTGAGGCCGGAAACTTAGAGGTTAAAAACTATCACTGTACTAAAAATGTTTCCCCTGCAGAACAGAAAATCCACATTAGATTCTTAACACCAGTTGTTCTGACCCCAACTTTCATCATACTGCATGCATCCAGCCACCTTCGCACATTGCTTATTTCTCTCGCATGGAAAAAAAGTCACTTCAAACTGAAAGCCGACTGAGTTTCCATAGCAACAACATCACAGAGATGCTATTTTAGTGCAGTGTGTAACTTTGAGATAAGGTGTAATCATGCCATGTTGGACGCAACTAAATGATACCTCAGTTACTGTGTAACTCCCTACTTTGTCTAAGTGCTTTCACTGGCGACCATTAGACTATGTTACCATGGCAATGCTTTCCTATGAGATCTCACTGAATGCTCGGCCAAGCTCTCTGAACATGATGTTGCACCATCATTTCCTGAAACAGGAAAATGAATAAAAATTATAGTCTTTAGCCAAATTGATTCTATTTAAACTGATCTGGGTAACGCATGAACTTTGGTTTTTTTTAATTGTCAGCTTTCAGATGAGCTACAAAGGTCGACACCCTCTGCAGTATTAACCACAGGCCCCAGCTCCACCCTTCTAGAAAATATCTGTTGACTTTTTGACTGAATGTGCAATATGGTGCTAATGAAGTGTGTTTTGTCTGTTTTCTGACAGTTTGTGTGATTATGTACAGTGACAAGGGTCTACAAATCCTTTTGGAACAAAAAAATGATTAAACTAAGTTTGTTTAATTTTTGGCTCCACAGATATTTGTTGTCAGGTGTCCTTTTTTCCCCTCATTGGCCAGATGCAGTTAAACCATTGTGACATCATTTTCAGAACAGTTTTAACTGAAACACCTAAAAGAGATGCTTAGAACTATGGCTCTCAAACTCTTTCTATCCTAAAATTCATGGCTCCCATGTAAACTAATTTAACTTTGACAAACCAGAAACACCAGGGAAATTGGTAACTTTGCCCACTGTTGTCAGACACCAACCCCATCACCATAAAATGTTGGATGATGCTGGTGCCCAGATTACATTCAGTGACTCTGTTTTTAATGGCCAATGCCAGTGTTGGGGAAAGACTGTGGTCATGACAACTACACTAAGGTTACTGGCCATGTGCTTACAGCATAAGAAATGCAGATAAGAAACAGAAAGTTTGTAATCAGAATCAGAATCTGCTTTATTGGCCAGGTGTGTTGGACACAGAAGGAATTTGACGCTGGTACAGCAGCTCTCCATGTGCATGTACATGGATATGTGTAAGATGGCACCCTCCGAGGCAGACGCGTTTGCGCGTTCCACTCTCAAATGCTGGCTTTTTCTTCGTTTTCTTCTTTTTTGTGTGTTTTTTACTCATTCTGCAGCGCACAAACTGCCTTAAATTTTGCGTTACTTATTCATCTTCTTTATATTTCATTTGTATTGTGTGACTTTCATGTGGACAGCAAAGTAAGAATTTCAATGTACAGGCAAACACGTTTCCTAACTGTGCATATGACGAATAAACACTTCGACCTTGACCTTGTTTACTCATTCTGCAGCGCACAAACTGCCTTAAATTTTGCGTTACTTATTCATCTACTTTATATTTCATTTGTATTGTGTGACATTCATGTGGACAGCAAAGTAAGAATTTCAATGTACAGGCAAACACGTTTCCTAACTGTGCATATGACGAATAAACACTTCGACCTTGACCTTGATATCCCCATGCAAGGAGCAAGTAAACAGCAAACCAACATAAGGCCGAGTAGTACAACAAAATAAACAGTATTAACAAGCAACAAACAGTGCAAACAAAACTTGTAACTTTAGAAGGTTTGATACTGTATGTCTAACTCAGAGTGCTGGAGCCTCATAATTACTTCATATAAACACTGAAATGTATTTGTGCTCTGGATTTTATCTAATATCACTTACATTAGAAGCAATTTCAGTTTAACTGCACAGAGGTTCCTGCCATGTGTTTAAAATAGGCTTGAAAAAAAATGCAGCCATACCCTTTAATTTCTGTATTTTCATCCTGCTACATATGGGTGAATTACTGCTTGTACTGGCACTTTGAAAGACATGTGTTCGATGAGTACCACATTTTTTTCTGCCTTCTACTTTACATGTCCACTTGTTGTCTGAACAAATCTGGTGGACCAGAATCTTTAAAGTGATGTGTGGTTATTGTTCCTTTGTGAATCCTCAAGAGCTATTGACACAATCCATATTTTACCCACTGATCTGGCCAAACACTTTTCACTGCCTGTAAGATGATAATATTCAGAGCAGGGCTGGCGGTGAAATCAGCTAATGGTCGACTGCAGCTCCCTGACACTGTGGTTTGAGTGTGTTAAGTACAAATGTTCTAACAAAGGAAAAGGATGAAGCTGGTGTTATTCTATATTTTTCTTAATGTCAGCAAAGTCAAAATAAGACCTAAAAACCAACAACGCCTCTGAAGACTTTATAATTTCTACACCATCTGCGACACTCAGCCTCCAGCCCACTGGTTCCTACTGAAGATGTTTAAAATAGGCCACAAATGTATAGTTTTATTTTTAAAAAAGGCAAAATAATCTACTAAAACTAGAGTGTGTGTTCATGGTAATGAAGAAACCTCACTAATAGTTTCTGGAAAACAATGTAACTCCTGTGTTAGGTGGGTCTGCCAATTATAGCTGCCTTGTGACAGGCTGGGGATGAAGATGGAGGAGCACAGAGGAATAATCAGACTTTGGATACACATATAATATTTCTTAGTAGGATTCTGTAAAATATATAGAAAAGCCTTATCCTTCAAAGGTTTACTATATGGTATAATCACATAAGCTTTGGTGAAACATGAAGATATACTCTACTATACTCTGCCATTACCTTGGCTATAGCTGTTTGCTTGTACATCTGTGTGACCAGGCTCATGACCTCAGTGGAGGAGGTGTCCGTGGCGACGACCCCCGACCCCAGTCCCTTCATAAGTCTCTCCCACTTGGCAAAACTGTCTAAGGCCTCCTGAAAGCAAGTAGAGAGCAAAAACAGTAAGGTTGTGTCCTTTATTTCTTCATCCACCCTCCTCTCTCTTTCTCTTGTTCTCTACTGTTTTTGAGATATAAAGGGCAAAACAATTAATGGTGCTGCTGGGTGTCCTACTTTCAGTGAAAGAGAAAGAAAGAGGGAGAAAAAGAAAAAATGAGAGAGAGAGATGGAGAATTCCCAGAGATGCTACCCCCTCCGACTGGGCTCCTGTGTTAGGTAGGTCATGAGCGTCTCCCAATTATAGCCGCCTTGTGACAAGCCGGGGTCGAAGATGGAGAAGCAGTTGGGCTGGTACAATAAATCAAAGACGCCTTGGGTGCTCTCAAGGTGATTGGCGAGAAGTATTTAAGGCACGAGTTGAGAGTGGAGAGGATCGCAGTGGGAGAGGCCGCCAGTGGGAGCAGCATATACTACATTCTGCTCATAAACCAGACACACAGAGAGGCTGTGCATTTGTTTTCGACATGTAGGTTAGCTCTGTTTATCATATAAACAGGACTCACCTGAAACTTAGTCAATTACCAGCATGCTTCAGCCCATTTCTTCTATGATTTCTGCTAAAATGCAACATCTTATTTAGAAATCTGACTAGAAAAAAAAAATAATGCCATATATTTTATTCAAGTTTCATGCAATAAATTCAATGTGTCTACAATTTACTTTTTAAAAATCATCCACCATAACATCACTTTGTTATTAGAGGTTATTTTGTGCTTGTTTTTAACAACTCTCAATTTAATCTGTCTGAATTCAGGCTGCAACACCACAAAATGTGTAAAAACTTCACAGGAGCGAACACTTTCTTAAAGCGCTGCATATCAAACAATGCAAAACTGTGAACCATATGGCAAGCCGAAGGAAGAGGTGGGCCACGTGTGATGAAGCACATACATCATAGTGCCTGTGTGAGGGGGGATGGGTGGGGGCACAGGGCAAGAAAAGAAGAGTAAGAAGTGGAGAAACACACATGTATGTTTTCTTCTTTAGCATGCAAATTTCACAACTGCATTTTTGTTTTCTGCATGGTACAATGAAAAAATTCTGAAACATGAAAGCTTTGCATCATTTAGTGAAATAATTAACATTTCACTGGATTCAAACCTCATCAAAGCCAAGGACAGTTGAATGAATAAATAGTATCATAGTGGAGGAGCATAAAGCTGCGTTCCCTTTATGTTTTTCCTCCTGCAGAAACACAGTTATGACTGTCTCGCAATGTTATTTTTTTTTTACTAATTAAAATTTTTATGTTGGAACATTTCTTTATAATCTGCTGAAAAAAATAAACAGAGTGGCTAAACACTCAACCCTCAATGATATTTACTAGACTAACTCCAACAAAAGGGCAGGGCTGAAAATGTAAAGGGCAGGAGGGGCATAAAAAGTGGCTGGCTGTGGAAGATAAAAGACATCATTAGGGAATAAAATGAGACAAGATGAATGAACTGGTGAGTGGTCCTCGTACACAGCATATATCGACACGGTTTGTTCAGAGGAAAATAATGTCCACCCAGCCTTTTATGTTTTATATTGTTCATATTTTCCTGCTTTTAGAAAGCACAATGGCTGCAGATTTGGGTGACTGACCACTTCACACCTCTCTTTCTCATCTCTTAAAACCAGTACATTTAGCTGAGAGGACAAAACGTCTGTCTATTCTTCACAGAAGACAAATACCTGTAAAAACACAATCATTCAACAACATTCATCTAATGAACACAAAAACATCAACTGTGAAAAAGAACATCTACAGCCAGAACTACTTTTTTTTTTCCAAAGACAAATGAGTTCAATCCTCTGAGGATATTACGCATCAAAGCTGGTGTTTCAGTCAACTTGAGATAAGAGCGCAATGTGAGAACAACTACAAGACATGACATGAACTTTTCCAACAGTACTACGGTGGCCTAATTGGGACCACTATGTAGAAACACTGACCATATTTATCTCCCAATTAAAGTGTCCCTTAACATTTAGAGAGACTGCAGTAAAACCCTGCATCATCACTTTCCTAGGAAACTTCTTTATTGTTGTGTCATTCCTGGGATGGTGGCTCAGTGCATAATTAGTGCTGAAAGAGCTCCTCCAGTGTTTTTCCACTTCTGCTGATAGTATATGATACAAAATATAACAAAGGCTCCTTAGTAGATGCTTCTAGTGTGTTGTTGCCTCACCTAGTGAAAAACTAACTCCCCCATGGCCTTGACACTGGTGAACCAATGCACAGAGTAGAGGAGATACACTGACAGGCGCAAAGACCAGGTCAAAGCCACATTAGCATTCACGTGTATATTCACCCGCATTCAGTGCAGCGTGGGAGGCAGAACTATAACTTTTGGGAGGCTAAAAGACGCACACACAAACACCTACACATGAAACATGACATTTACTCTTCAAATACACTGGTATCTTCTTTAAGATGGTGGAAAAGAAACACACACACACACACACACACACACACACACACACTTCAGTATATCTTAGCTTGGGCTATACAAGTTGTTTAATCTTAAAGCAGGGTGGTATTTCCAAATAGAAGCAATATGCATCATAAATGAATGGATGACTGAACTAAAAGATTAGTTTACTATAATATAAAACAATTAACCTTATGTTTGAGAATCTGGAAAAAGAGAATGACCCTCATGAATCTGACATGCAACAAACACTACCAATGAAAAGAAGACTCCGCTGTCAGAAAGCAGACTAAACATAATTAAATTCAGCTGCTCGCAATAAAGCAGCACTGTACAATGACAGAAATAAAGAGGAAATGGTCTATAAAGTTGGTCATGAATACTAAAACCTCTAAAAAACAAAAAAGTCCATGACTTAGATGGGAAGCGGCCAGGGGGAGGTGACAGTAATGGCAAAGGACGAGAAAATATTCCACAGTAGGTGATGTTTCACCGCCAGCTGTTACAATGGATCTGTCATGTTCCCCCTGGTAGAAACTTGCATTAAGTGTCTGAACAGCTACTGAAATGTATAAGTTAACAAACTTTACTAAAATGTTCAAGCACTGTACTTCAGTACAACTTTGAGGCGTATACTTGCACTCCACCAAAAATCAGAGGCAAATATTATCAACTAATTAACCATATTTAAACTCCAAATTCAACAAAGCACCATGAATCAGTTTTTGTTGTTCCTAGTGTGTAGAATGTCTGACTACTGGACATGTTTAAAATTGTCCATTAGCTGTCAACAACAACCAAATCCTGGGAAAAATTTATGTCTGTCCATCAGAAAACATCCCTTCAGTGTCATCTAGCATATACCTTTGCAGCCTCTTTAGGCAGGTCGAAGGGGATACGCTGGCGGATTTTGGGGGGCAGCTGAGTGAGCACCTCATCCTTGCGACGACGGATCATGATCCGGCTCAGCCGCTGGTGCAGCTCTGGCAGGTTGGATGCCCCACGACAGTCCCACTGCTTGCGAGGCCCAAAGTACCTGTGAGGCATTGAATGAGAAGTGAAGCTGTGGCTGCTGATTTCTAACCGGGAGAAACTTCCTAAGAAAACATACTTATTTGTAGTGTTATTCAGTGCTGCCCTGAAGAAATATTTAAACACATTTAAATATTCCCACCAGGGAGCTGCCCAGTATTACAACAGCCTGCCATCGTTTACCGCTGAGCAGCTGGGGGATCAGTTTTTGCTTAAGGGCACTTTACAGAGCACGAAACTATTTTGTCTAATGGCCACAGCAGCAGGTTCATCCCAAAACTCACCGAGAACTTTCACAATTTATCAGCCAAATGGATTTTTAGAATAGAACTGGCCCTCCGCACAAAGACTGGTTATATGCCAAACTGGCTGGAAGTGTGAACAAATTTAACAAGGCACTGCCAAAATTTGCTGTTTCACACTTCAGTATGTAAACTTACAGTTGATGAAGAAAGGGGGACTGACTCACTCCTTCTAAAATCATTTAAATAGTTTATGGTGTGGGGACTTAAACCAGCAATCTTCCAGCTGCTGCCATTTCACACAGTAACTTCAATATTATGTGCCCCTCTTGTGTGCATCATGCTTTATCTGAAAATATGTGTTTGTGTGTGTGACTCTGAATGGTATTCCTTAGCCACACTAAGTACTATCACATACAAAGCGTTATCATTAGTGGCACCAAGCCCATCCCCAGCAGAGCTGCTGACTTTGATGGACATCCAAAACAATGCATTTGATGTGTTAGTTCACACATGTAACCGACCGTCTCTGGCAACTGGCAGCCAGCTGGCATTTAACGCTTGGCTTCAGTTGTGGTCTGGCTTCAACAACAAACCCTCAAATCAGTAGCATCACCCCTCCAGACTCAGGTACAGCCTACTCTATCCCAGCAAACACTTGGAAAATTTTTAAAATTTATTTGTAGCTGACATGAATTGAAACTTAGAATTGACGAGTTTAAACATAAATATAAAGGTATGTGTCAATCAAGATATATGCAAGAACAGGCTTAATGATTAATTAGATGGAACATTGTGGGTGTGGTGTATGAATGGTCAACGATAACACAAGTAAACACATCATGCAGTTTTTAAATGAAGGTTTTTATTATTAAGGGAAAACAAAATCCAAAACTACAAAGCCCTGTGTGAATAAGTGTTTGCCCCCTAAACCTAATAACTGGTTGGGCCACCCTTAGCAGCAACAACTGCAATCAAGCGTTTTCGATAACTTGCCATGAGTCTTTTACAGCGCTGTGGAGGAATTTTGGCCCACTCATCTTTGCAGAATTGTTGTAAGTCAGCCACATTGGAGGGTTTTCGGGCATGAACTGCCTTTTTAAGGTCATGCCACAGCATCTCAATTGGATTCAGGTCAGGACTTTGACTAGGCCACTCCAAAGTCTTCATTTTGTTTTTCTTCAGCCATTCAGAAGTGGACTTGCTGGTGTGCTTTGGATCATTGTCCTGCTGCAGAACCCAAGTTCGCTTCAGCTTGAGGTCACAAACGGATGGCCGGACATTCTCCTTCAGGATATTTTGGTACACAGCAGAATTCATGGTTCCACTTATCACAGCATGTCTTCCAGGGCCTGAAGCAGCAAAACAGCCCCAGACCATCCCACTACCACCACCATATTTTACTGTTGGTATGATGTTCTTTTTCTGAAATGCGGTGTTACTTTTACGCCACACATAATGGGACACACACCTTCCAAAAAGTTCAACTTTTGTCTCGTCTGTCCACAGAGTATTATTCCAAACGTCTTGGGGATCATCAAGATGTTTTCTGGCAAAACTGAGACGGCCCTTTATGTTCTTTTGGCTCAGCAGTGGTTTTCGTCTTGGAACTCTGCCATGCAAACCATTTTTGCCCAGTCTCTTTCTTATGGTGGAGTCATGAACACTCAGCTTAACTGAGGCAAGTGAGGCCTGCAGTTCTTTGGATGTTGTTGTGGGGTCTTTTGTGACCTCTTGGATGAGTTGTCGCTGCGCTCTTGGGGTAATTTTGGTCGGCTGGCCACTCCTGGGAAGGTTCTCCACTGTTCCATGTTTTCGCCATTTGTGGATAATGGCTCTCACTGTGGTTCGCTGCAGTCCCAAAGCTTTAGAAATGGCTTTATAACCTTTTCCAAACTGATAGAGCTCTATTATTCTCTTTCTCATTTGGTTTTGAATTTCTTTGGATCTTGGCATGATGTCTAGCTTTTGAGGATCTTTTGGTCTACTTCACTTTGTCAGGCAGGTCCTATTTAAGTGATTTCTTGATTGCGAACAGGTGTGGCAGTAATCAGGCCTGGGTGTGGCTAGAGAAATTGAACTCAGGTGCAATAAACCAGAGTTAAGTTATGTTTTGACAGGGGGGCGAACATTTCTTCACACAGGGCTATGTAGTTTTGGATTTTGTTTTCCCTTAATAATAAAAACCTTCATTTAAAAACTGCATGATGTGTTTACTTGTGTTATCGTTGACTAATATTTAAATTTGTTTGATGATCTGAAACATTACAGTGTGACAAACATGCAAAAAGATAAGAAATCAGTAAGGGGGCAAATACTTTTTCACACCACTGTATAAGCAAATTGATATTGGATTAGCATTTGTTGGATATGTGTAAAATTATGTGTGTTGACATATTAACTATCTTTACATGCTTGAAAGAATAAATAAATAAATAAAAAAATCAACTTTGCTAGCTACAAATTAAAAGTATATGAAGAAGAACAAACCAAAACGAGGTATTACACTCAAAGGAATATAGAGACGTGGACAAAATTGTTGGTACCCTTCTGTTAAACAAAGAGAAACTCACAATGGTCAATGAAATAATGTGAAACTGACAAAAGTAATAATAAATAAAAATGTACTGAAAATTAACTGACAATCAGTCATTGCTTTTGAATTGTGGTTCAACAGAAGCATTTAAAAAAAAAAACTAATGAAACTGGCCTGGAGAAAAATGAAGGTACCCTTAACTTAATATTTTGTTGCACAACCTTTTGAGGCAATCACTGCAATCAAGCAATTTCTGTAACGCCCAATGAGACTTCTGCACCTGTCGACAGGTATTTTGGCCCACTCCTCGTGAGCAAACTGCTCCAACTGTCTCAAGTTTGAAGGATGCCTTCTCCAGACTGCATGTTTCAGCTCTTTCCACAGATGTTCAATAGGATTTAGATCAGGGCTCATAGAAGGCCACTTCAGAACAGTCTAATGTTTTCTTCTTAGCCATTCTTGGGTGTTTTTAGCTGTGTTTTGGGTCATTATCCTGTTGCAGGACCCAGGACCTGTGACTGAGACCAAGCGTTCTGACAATGGGCAGCACATTTTGCTCCAGAATGCCTTGATAGTCCTGAGATTTCATTGTACCCTGCACAGACTCAAGACACCCTGTGCCAGATACAGTAAAGCAGCCCCAGAACATAACTGAGACTCATCCATGTTTCACAGTAGGTACAGTGTTCTTTTCTTTGTATGCTTCATGTGAACATAGAGCTGATGTGACTTGCCAAACAGTTCCAGTTTTGTCTCATCTGTCCAAAGGACATTCTCCCAGAAGCTTTGTGGCTGGTGTCAATATGTATTTTGGCAAATTCCATTCTCACTTTTTTATGAGTTGCTTTCAACAGTGGAGTCCTCCTCGGTCGTCTTCCATGAAGTCCACTGTGGCTCAGACAGCGACAGATGGTGCAATCTGATACTGATGTACCTTGACCTTGGAGTTCACCTCTAATCTCTTTGGAAGTTGTTCTGGGCTCTTTGGTTACATTCGCATTATCCGTCTCTTCAATTTGTCATCAATTTTCCTCTTGCGGCCACATCCAGGGAGGTTGGCTACAGTGCTGTGGACCTTAAACTTCTGAATAATATGTGCAACTGTAGTCACAGTAACATCTAGCTGCTTGGAGATGGTCTTATAGCCTTTACCTTTAACATGTTGGTCTATAATTTTCTTTCTAATCTCCTGAGACAACTCTCTCCTTAGCTTTCTGTGGTTCATGTTCAGTGTGGTACACACCATGATACCAAACAGCACAGTGACTACTTTTCACCCTCTAAATAGGCAGACTGGCTGATTACAAGTTTGAAAACACCTGTGATGCTAATTAGAGGACACACTTTAGTTTAACATGTCTCTGTGGCCAAATTATTTTCAGTCCTTTCTAGGGGTACCATAATTTTTCTCCAGGCCAGTTTCATTAGTTTCTTTTTTAAAATGCTTCTGTTGAACCACAATTCAAAAGCAATGACTGATTTTCATTAGTTCATTTTCAGTAAATTTTTATTTATTATTACTTTTGTCAGTTTCACGTTATTTCAGTGACCATTGTGAGTTTCTCTTTGTTTAACTGAAGGGTACCAACAATTCTGTCCACGTCTGTATGTGCAGTACAGTATTTTGGGAAATATGCTTATTTTGATGTCGGGCAGTGCAGCAGTGCGGTGGTTAGCGCTGTCGCCTCACAGCTAGAAGGTTCCGGGCTCGGGCCTTTCTGTGTTGAGTTTGCATGTTCTGCCTGTGCCTGCGTTGGTTCTGTTTGGGTACTCTGGCTTCTTCCCAAAGTCCAAAGATGTGCAGCTTAGGTTGATTGGAGGCTCTAAATTGCCCCTAGGAGTGAGTGTGTATCTAGCCACACGGGTTTCACGCCAGTGACTTCTGTGCCAGTCTCAAGCCCAGTTAAATAGAGAGGGTTGTGTCAGGAAGGGCATCCGGCGTAAAAACATGCAAATTTACTCATATAAATCATATTCGCTGTGGCGACACAGCCGAAAGTTGAGTAGTAACAGATGCTTATTTTGATGTCCTTGCTGAGAGCTAGATGAAAGCAGTTAAATATGAACCTGGAGAAAAGAGATGAGCCGAAAAAGAGGGGAAAGAGGCGAAAAAAAAAAAAAAAAAAATCAGCCTACTCGCAAAACTAAATCTCAGTAATATATAATACCTGGTTTGTTTTAATCCAAACAAAAAATGAACATGCTTGTTTTTTTAGTCTGGATAGCTTTAGAGGTGCTGGTAGGTGGATTTTGTTTTTTTGTTTGTTTTTTTTTACCCAGGCTAAGTTAAGGGTCTCTTGGCTCTAGCTACACAAAAATGTGTATTTCTATAAGGCATGTGTCAGCTTGTGTATGTGATGAACACTCACCTGTAATGGGCGTTGCAGTATTTCTTGGTATAGTCAGCCCAGGTTCCAAATTTCATGGGATAGAGGGCATCAATCTGCATAAAAAGCTGTGAAATACACAGACAGAAATAGGACAGAACAAACCAGAGAGAATGTGCATCACAATGTCTCATTGCGAATTTCCTTTATATACTGTACATAATTAAACATTTAATATTGTAAATATTAAAGTATCTACCATTTCTGACAATTACCACCCCCCACACACACACCTCTAACGATCTGTCAAAAGGATGTGTGTGGCCTCTTTTTAAAAAAAAAAAAAAAAAAAAAAAAAAAAAGAAGGATCAGAAAGGCTCCAGGCCCAGATGGTGTGACCCCCTCCTTCCTGAAAGTGTGTGCTGATCAGCTGGCCCCCATCTTCACACTCATCTTCAACATGTCACTGGAGCTGTGTGAAGTCCCCTCGTGCTTCAAACACTCCACCATCATCCCAGTCCCCAAGAAAACCTCCATCAGTGTGGGCAAACAGGTCAGTGGACGATGCAGTGAACATGGCACTGCATTACATCCTGCAACACCTCAACTCCCCAGGGACCTATGCACGGGCCCTCTTTGTCGACTTCAGCTCAGCGTTCAACACCATCATCCCGGACATCCTCCACTCCAAACTGACCCAGCTCACTGTGCCTGCCCCCCACCTGTCAGTGGATTACTAGCTTTCTGACAGACAGGAAGCAGCAAGTGAGGCTGGGGAAACCCACATCCAGCACCCGGACAATAAGCACAGGTGCCCCCCAGGGATGTGTGCTCTCCCCTCTGCTGTTTTCACTCTACACCAACGACTGCATCTCAAAGGACCCCTCTGTCAAGCTCCTAAAGTTTGCTGATGATACAACGGTCATTGGTCTCATCCGAGACAGTGACGAGTCAGACTACAGACGAGAGGTTGAGCAGCTGGTCCTGTGGTGTAGCCCCAACAACCTGGAGCTGAACACGCTCAAAACAGAAAGTGTCTAATAAATGCTGTAGTGAATAGTAACCGATTCTGTCTGCATTGTTTACCGCCTGTTTATACTGTTTATTTTGCATTGTTTGCACTGTCTGTTGCTTGTTAATACTGCTTAGTTTGTTATATTACACAGGCTTATGCTGGTTTACCTTGAAATTCATAGTAACTGGGGCAGCAAATACTGTTATTTTTGTGCTATACCAAGATAAGCTAACTGGCTGCTGGTGGTAGATTGATAGTGTATAGCCAAGAAAAGAATTGTTTCTTTAAAATTCTATTTTTCTAATTTATTATGTACATTTGAACAATATCCTTGACAAAATCTAACAGGCCTCAAGGCATCAAGTGTTTTAGTTCCCACAACTTCTCTCCTTTTACCGTTTGAAATCCGAAAGCAGAGTATAACTCAAATCTTTTCTTGGCTTTAAACATAAACATTACCTGCACTCATGATTAGTCGACTGTCATGAAGTGTGTCATGTGTGCAATTTATTCAAGGTCCTGTTGTCCTTCGCCTAGTTTACCAGTTCTGTGCAGTGCAACTGTGTGGTAATTTGTGTCAGTGCCAATTAACCAGGTCAAACCACTGTGGAGTCAGACTAGGTAAAGAAAGCAAAACTGAAAATTAAATGAAATGCTAATACAGAAAACTGACCTGCTGCTGATTGTTAGCTGCTGACATTTAAATTCTGAATCATCAAAAGATCTGTGAATCACCTGGTTCTGAAATACCGATAAATTACAAGTCACTGCTTTGAGTTGTCAGTAGACATATGGCATTTTGAAAAGAGCCTTTTCATACAGTGTGTAGGCAGAACGTTTATGCATTACAGCTTGCAACAAAACCCCCGGAATGTGTGCATGCCCAAGTCAGCGTGTCTGTGTGTAAACACAACATCTTTGTCAATTTTCAGCATTTGCAGCAATTTATGAAGTAATGACAGGTAATCGTCAGAAAGACGATCTGAATAAGCAGCCACAGTGAGAGCGCTGTTCTAAATTCACCACTTGTTCAACAGGAGCTTTGCATTTTTCCCCCTAACACTGTTGATATAATAGGTGGGTGGAATGAGGGCACATCATGAACAGTGCAGCATGCCCTGAGCTGTGTGCTAACTCGATGTCAGAGCCACAGTGAGTAATGATGGCAGTGAGGAGACTGGCACAGAGGCAGGGACAGGGCTTATCAGGTTTATGCTGTGGATGATAAAATGTTATATTCAGTTTCAGATTCTAGTGGCAGAGAGAGGGAGAGATGATATCTGAAAACTAACCTCACCGCTGCAGACAAGCAACGGCAAAGACAGGACGGCATGTATCACACACACATATGTGCAGCAGGCTGTATAACACACACACACACACACACACACACACACACTTCCTCTATGATGCACCTTCATGAGATTTCTTACAAGTACTAACTTCAGTTCATTTTGGAATTAATTAGTTGCCTGAATTTCATCAGTTAATTATCAACATCGGGGCTAGGCAATAATTAAGTTTTCCTCACAGCAGTGTAGCAGTTAGAAAGTGAGATCTGAGTTGTGTGTCACAAAACCTATGAAGTCAACCCTGAATATGTTCTTCTGCAGTTGGTTATCAGCTAACTCTTTGAACCAACATATTTTTCCCCTACAAGCATCTATGCACAAAAGAGACAAATTTCCCCACCTGTTTCAGAATGAATTTTAATTCTATATTAATAACTACTACGGCTCTTTGCAGTCTCTTTGTCACCTACGTTTAAATCACTTTAAACACACATTTTTAATTATAATGTTAATTTTAAATGTCTTTTTTTTAAAGATTAGATCTGATGATATTCTACATATCGGTTACTGTCAACAAATTCCATGGCTACACCAAAACATTAATTTCCACACACACACACACACACACACACACTGTGTAGTGTAGTAGTTTAGCAGTTTAATTTGACTCGGTCCCATATGCACCGTCCTGCTGCCAGAGCACCACATGGTATTAATCCACAGCTGAATATAGTTCCCAACAGATGCACTGTTTCCTCTTGCTGTTTTAGGAAATCATTTAGCTGTTTTTTAATTAAAGTGTATATTTGTGAGCTACCACAGACAACTCAAAAGTGAGTCATTATTACTATTAGTCCTTATGCAATTTGTTGACAATAAGAAACATTTAGAAGAAGGTCAGGGCTTAACTTTTCAAACGCTGGGGAATATATTTTCTTAATCAGCTTCCTGTGATCGACAGTGTCCTACATGAACACACAAGTTCTTCTAAATCTGAAACACTTGTGGATATTTTATAAGACATTTCTGTCTGTCAAATCAGCTGTACAATTTGGAAATAAATACACTGACTTATAATACCTAATCACTTAATGATCATGATCATTTAAGCAACACAAAAGCATAGCAGTCAAATGCAATGCCGCCCCTCAGGCTAGAGGCACAAAGCTGTATCAGAGGCCCCATCATTAGGGACAGTGAACATACAGCACTTATTACTGATATTGCATTGTGTCTTCACAGTGAGACTGTAAAAAGATTTTCTATTCTCCGAGTCCACTTCATCTTTTGTGGCTGGAGTGATGGAATATGGCTGCAATCTACAGCTTCAATAAAACATATATGAAAATGATATAATAAATCATTGTGAAAAGAGAAATGGCTCTGCTGCTCTCCAAATACCATTGTCCTGTGAACAGCCTTTCTTATTTTCTCTACATTCAACAGTCCCCCCTCCCCAGCGCTTCTTTTTATTACTTGTCTCATTTATTGCAGTGCAGTGTCTCTTCATACTGGGCTTTGTAAATGAAGTTTTTGCAACAAAGGTTATTGAAATAAGTCCATGGGATCCTTGAGGATAAGTGATGCCTGAGAGAGTTAATTGGGTTTTTGAGTGTTGGATCTGAGTATTACCTGCTCCGAAGCAAGTTACCATGGCGATCTACAGGCACTGTACAGTGAAACACCTTTGTGAGAAGCCAGAGCTTAGCTCTCTGGTCTGGTTCAGGAATGTGGGTTCAGAGCCCCCTCTGAAGCACACATTTCTTTTTATATTTGTCCTTATTCCTTCAGTGTTTTTCAGTAAAAATTTAAGGGATACTTTGAAGAATTTTGAAAAAAAAACAAACAAAAAAAAAAACAGCTGACTCCAGCCAAACTTTGTCCATCATCCAACTTTCATTTAATCACAAGTTTTTACCTCTATGGGTCGACCCAATGCTGGAGTACCAGTGAGTAAGATGGCCCGCTTGGCCCTCTGAATGAGAGGAACCAGGATCCTAGTCCGTGCGGCGTTCCTGGTTTTGAGGTAATGTGACTCATCCACCACGACCACGCCAAACTCCTGCCTAGTCAGAGCCTCCACCAGGAGGCACGCATCTGTAGTGAGCAGGCCGTAGCCCAGAATCGTCACCTTACTGCTGCTGAAACCCCTGTGAGGCAAGGACACACACACACACATTCAGAAAACACAATATGCACAGCAACATGGAAATAAACATCCACCACAAATGGAAATGAAAGAAAATCCTTGCTCATTTCTATTTATTCTTATTATCATTTAGTATTTTCACCACTGATTCATTTGCAAACTATTGTACTGATTGAGTAATCAGGAAAATGTCCAAAAATAATTTAAACCTGTCCCTTGTTAATTTCCCAGAGCCCAAGATGGCATCAAACAAACAGTCCAAAACCCAAATATATCAGTTTACAATAACAGTAGACTAAGAAAGCCAGCAAATATTCACATTTGAGGAGCTGAATTTTTACATAAAATAAAGAATCAATCATAAAAATGAATGAATAATTAACTACATACTTAAAATGTGCATACTTTCAAAACAGGCACAGTGACTGAATAGCTGATCTTTTACAGGATATCTTAACAAATTTTGCATTTCAAATGACCAAATTACTATGTAGAAGGAAAAATCTCAGATTTTCTCAGATTTTTGAATCAGTTTCAAATATAGTACAACATAAAATGTAATCCTCTGTAAATTGACAGTTTCTGTTTGTGGGGATTTTATGTTTGACCTTCTGCGAGCGCAGTAGTAGTACATAGCCTCATTTGCTGCTAAATTAAAGGACAAGGCTGGGACTATTCTATGGCTTCCTTACTCACTGCAAATTCAATGAAACAACAAATGCCACCGACAGGTTAGTCTGGGTCTTTTTGTCTTCACTAAACTGTCTGTGGCACACAACCCCAAATTACTTCCGCTGATTCCTACTGAAGATATAAGTCTTTAATGATGGGTCAATGCATATATACAGTAGTTTAATTCTGAATAAAGGCTCAGTCACTTCTGAAAACTGGGCTGTTCACTATAACTTATAGCAATCCTTTTTCAAACAGGAGGAAATAAGTGGGGAAAAATTTCAGCTGTAGATTAATACACATTTATTTACAGCAGCAGGATGGTATACACTATATGGGACTGAGCTACATATAAATAAATGGCAATGTGTATTCATTGTAATGAAGGAACATGTCAGCTACTGCAACAGTGTGGTTCACTGTGCTTTTGTTTTTGGACAACAATGATTCTGTGCATTAGACTAAGGATACACAGACAACACCTGGTAATAGGAGACATTCATTGTTGGTTTTTGCTTTTAATGGGATTTGTTGACAGTAAAAAAATAGGGAATATGGTCATACTCTTACAGTATGCACCTTTAACACTGATAAACGTGTCTCACTCAATACAAACTTAACATCTGTTCTTGTGTTTAATGACATGGCAACTGATCCCTCAAGGTAACGTACACCAGGCTATTTAAAAAGGGTGTGTGGATAAATGTTAAGGCACACATAGAAGACACACAAATGTGGACACAGTGCCAGGCACAAACTAGGGCTGCAGCTGTTTCATATATCTCCTCTTCTCCAGCACTTATGAATTCCATTCCTTAGCTATATTGCAATGTCTGTTTTTTCCAGATTATGTGCAGCCCTAACACAAACACACAGATACACAGTCACAGATAAACACACAAACACAGAGGCGACATTCAGCTGCATAAAACTCAATAAGAATCTTTGAGAAATCAGAAACATTTCCTGCATCTGTCAGGCTCTAATTCTTTGCCACACACGTTTCCAAGCTGAAATAAATCCTAAGGAGCCATTCATGTTCTACAAAAGAACAAGTGAGTCAAAATACTGGGAGGAGGTGCTGCATAATTTTGTCTTGCTTCCTCATTCAGTCATTAACACATCCAGTTCAAGGACACGTTTTCCCCTGAAGGCTTTCACAACCTCTTTGCGCCTCATCTGTGATGTGAGGTGGGGAGGATATTGTTCCCCTTCGCAAACAGAGAAAGTTTTCATTCAAGAATAAAAACTAAGAACTTGAAGAAAGTTGAGAAATAAATAAAAGTAGCTGTTTTCAAGGCCACATGAGTCCCCAGTGCAGGAATAGTCCGCAAACCTGAATCAGTATGAAATGAGACTGTATTTTCCCACTTTCTGTGTTGAAAAATTTCAACTCTTGTTCAATTTTGCAGACGTCGCCCTGACATGATTTGCCTGTCAGCGCTGTCAAACACCGGCCTCTGCTGGCTCCTGACACAGAGGGACACTTTGATTAATTTGTCAGTCGTAACTTCTTTCACACTACGCTCGCATTTTTTATTACATCTCTTTAGGTCAATTATCACCACTTACATATGTAGAAGGCTGCAGAGATGGAGTTATAGCTTAAGATCAAATAATGGCTGCAACCTTTCACTTACATAATCCTATATACAATGAACCTGACATCAAATAAATCCTGTGGATTATGTACTTGGATATCCTGAATATATTTATGAAACTGAAAGAGACTTGTGCACTTCCACACAGTCTGAAAGTGCAAAATGTGAATCTATCTGCAAAATAACATGAAAATACCTTGGGGAAAATGTCCTTAAATTAAATATAAGTTAATAATTGACTAATCCTTAAGAAATGTTTAACACAAAATGGCTAAATTTACCATTTCTAGCTTCTTAGATGTGGATGTTTCCTGATTTGTTTTTCTTTTTTGTTTTGTATAATAGTAAATTGAGTATTTGGGATGTTTTTGGCTGCTGGTTGGATACAACAAGCAATTTTAAGACAGCGGCTTTGGCTCTAGAAAAGTGTGATGAGGATTTTTACACATTATTACAGGTGTGGCCTGGCTACAGTGATTTGGAGGGATAAAGGTGAGATGACCTACATGGTCTGGCTCTTGTTCTCCACCAGGTTGATGTCTCCAGGCTGCAGCTCAGGGATCCACCTCTCCAGCTCCTCAATCCAGGGGTATTTCAGGGACGAGGGCACCACCACTAGGAGAGGCCACTCCTGCCTGAAGGCGTATGCCACAGCGATGGCCTGCACCGTCTTCCCAAGACCCATCTGGACCAGCCAAATCAACACACGGCGAAAGGGGAGAAAAACAAGTCAATCGCACACCGACTCTGTGGTAAATTGCATATGACGGCCGAGCTGATGTGAGCCCCAAGAGTAATAAGGTCTCAGAATGATTCTTGTGTCAAAATCGATTAGGCACATGGGAGTGCTGCACAGGGCTGACAAATTAATTTGGAAGGCATGCAGCAAAGTCTCTGGTTCATTTTTTGGAAAATAGATTTCCTGAGCCAGCGCTGTGTGTGCTTACCTCATCAGCAATCATACACCTGTAAAACAAAAGAAAACAGAGAAAACTTTATCAGAAACTGATTTGTAGAGCTGACCAGTATACAATAACACCAGGCTGCTACACAAAGACAGTTTATAGTTTAAACATGAAGCATGATACAGCAGGAAAGCTTTGATAAAGAGTACAGCAGCATTAATTACAGTCATTTATTCAGCATACATGTCTAGATACTTCTGGGTTGTCTAAGAATTCATACCAGCAACCCTCCTGACACAACTCATCCCCTCAAACCTTTTTGGCCGCAGAAAATACACCCAGTCAAAGTCATGGACAACTGCCATCTCAGACTCAGCTGCTCTTGCACAAGTTTCAAGTCTGTCACTTTTAATTTAGATCTGCACTGGTACTTTGAGTTTGAGAATTTTTGTTGCTACTGAATATTTATGATGTTGTTCCCATTGAATATTTCTATTTCTGATGCAGCCGAGTGTCTTTGGAGTCTCTGTAGAGTGTGATCACTGTGTTTGGGTTCATCCTGTTCCCAATAAAAAACACTAAGTTACCAGCTGATGCAGAAGCTACATGTGATCAGAGTAAAATCCCTGAAGTAATAATGATATTTTCAGGGTAAGTGCCAATTTGAAAAAGAGAAGTCCTTTGGTTTTAACTCTGATTGTATATCTTCAATCAGAGCATTGCTGACAGGTACAGTATGAGCTCTGGGAACCTCTTGAGCCCTGGGAAATTGTGTTAATTAATCAATAACAAAAGGAATTGTTTACATTAGTCGTCAATACCCTAATTCTCTTTTTATTCCACATTTTTAGGAATGTAACATTTGCTGGCAAATGAACCTTAAACACCTGCTGTGACTGTCTCTGATATGATATGTTTTAGCAACCATACAACAGCCAAATAATTATAAAGAACAATGAAAGCACGACACAGTGCTCAGCTGAAGTCACCCCTGTGGAAAAAATGGCATCAGTCGCTGCAGGATAGAGCAACCTATGGTTCCCTCTGCCCACTGGGTTTGGGCCTATTGTCATGACCTTGCTTATTCATAAATGCTTCCAACATCATGTCAGGGCAAACAGTGCAACAGAGCAGCTCTGAATACCTCAGACACACTCTCTCATTATTCTTTCTCCTCCTCCCTCTCCTCCACTTCCTCCCCCCATCTCCGCCCCATTTCTCTCTTTCAGCTGAGGAACATGATTAATGTGCACCTTGCCACTGGTGGTTTTTCTAATTGCCAGCACAACGGCCCAGTCAGCGCAATGTGCGCACACACACAATAAAGCTACGCAAAAGTAAAGACATGCAAAAAAAAAAAACAGACAATATACACAAAGACACGTGAACAAAAGGAAACCTATACACAAATGCAAACACATAAACCTACACGCACTCTCTCACACACAAGTGCTTGCACATAAAAAAAAAAACCAGACAATATACACAAGACACGTGAACAAAAGGAAACCTATACACAAATGCAAACACATAAACCTACACGCACTCTCTCACACACAAGTGCTTGCACATACACCCACACACAAACATACACACACCCACACTCACAAACTAGGGAGGGAGTGTGGCTGGGGCAGGTGCTTGCCATTTCTCAACACATTAATCATCCTCCTTTAAATAACCTGAGTGTCGTCTTGACGGTTTGAGACTGCGAGGATGCTGCGGTGCTGTTGCCTGACGACGACACGTCCCCGTCACAGCATCTTTCTAATGTTATCTCTGAAACCCACAAGCCCCAAAGTGTCAGGAAATGGGCTCCCCTACCTCCCAGGCTGACTACAATGATTTGATGGCTTTGACCTGTGCACAGTGATGTGTTGTGTGGCCCTGTGTATAACCCCAATCTACCAGCCCTGCTAAAGTTCTCCTCTGAGGACTGGACCTCTACTGCGCCACGGTCAGTGGAAATGCTCAGACACTGGACGCTGCACAAAAGGCTGACTTGAAGGGTGCCGCAGTTTGCCATGCTTGGATCCACTAGGATCCCACACACAGTTAGGAGTTCATGGTGTAGTTCTGCTGTATACTGTGAATAAACTTAAAATCAGAGCAAAGTGGAAAGGATTTCAATTAGTTTTTCCTGCTTGTAGGAGATGGAGCACTACTACATGTTTCAATAGTCTGATTGTAAACGTTTACACAACCAGCACTTCACTTAGGGATTTTCCCCCCTAACTTTTCAGTGGTGCTTAAAATCACTGTTGATGTATGAATGCATGTCATGTTTGGTTCTAATGATGGATTTATTCTGAAGTTTTCAATTCACTTCACTAAGTGATCACATTTTTTACATTACAACACTCGTTAAACTTTTAGTTGTTCTCTTTAACACACAGCAGTTTATTTATTATGTGTAGCCTCTATACTTTTGAGGCTATAAAGAAACATATTCTTTACATCCTGGATGGATACTCTCCACATAATAGAAGTTGGACTATTAAGGCTGCGAGTTACTGATGTAAGTAAAATGACACTTTTCAGGCTGTATATATTACTGTGCTCCATTAAGACAGATAAGAAATGTCATGCTTAATTAGGAGGAAATGAAATTTAGAGTACCTCCAAGTGTAAATACTGTAATTAAACACTTTGAAGATGTAGGAGAGACAGAGAGATAGTTAAGTGATATTGAGCCATCTCACAATGCTCGAGCATGTGTAATTCAGAATCTGCTGAATCTCTGTTTTGACCTATAACTGATCTGAATTAACATTACATTTAACTCCGAAGAAGGTTCAAAATATAAATAAGGTCGAATGTTGCTCACTTAGCCATCAGTATTTAAGGTTTAACAGGAATATTATTTGAAAAACAGGTTATCAGGGCCTTTGATACTGTGCTATCTGAGTACTATCCTCTGAGTCTCCATTAAAATTAGCTGGTGTTGTACTTAATTTATCTTACCCGGATGGACTTACAGCAAGGAATAAGCTCCCAATGTGCTGCCAAATAGTTCAGATTATTTTATGGTACCACTCTGTGCACAACCTTCATATCATGAACAATACTTATGGGCCAGAAGAAATGTCATAAATACATCAACTTTTATGTGAATAGAGGACAAACTCCACATCTGGAATCTTCTCTGAGTAATTTTACAATCACATTCACCTCATGCATCAGCAGATCAGGCCTTATTCAATAAAAGCAGTTAGTCCTTAGCAATAATATTTTGGACAAATCAGAGGAGGCTGGGCATGTTCTATGTGACTTCAGGTTGCAGTCAGCGCTGTAATGGAAGTGACCGAGAGCTCTTAATGGATTTACTTTTACTCCAAATTGATGATTTTGTTTGTCATTATCTGGGTAGGCCCACTCAGAGTATTGCATTTTGTACCCTGGGTACACTTTAGAATAGCTGAATGTATACAGATGTCACCATTCAAAACACCAAACTTCTGCCCAACTTCCCAAACAATGCAATCAGCCACATCTCATGGCTTTTTATTGTCGTACTGTACCACAGCTTTCCCACATCATCCCTCACCCTCCTACACAGACAGATACAGCAGGCTCCATAAGTATTTGAACTGCTACAACATTTGATGTTTTGGTTCAGTACTCTTGATGCTCTGGATGTGAAAAGACACAGTGACTATGAGATTTAACAGAAAAATCCACCCACGGAGTCTCCTACACTGTTAGATATTCAGCATTAATCTGTGATGTTCAGTGCTTTTCAGGAGATATTTTATAATGAAGCGCTGATATTTATTTTTTGTCTGTTTGCCTACCTTATCTAGTTCTACTTCAGGCGGTGATATCCTACATTTCCCAAAACTGTGATACTCCTTCCTAAAAAGCCAACAAGTCTGCAGCTGCATTGCATTCTTGTCTAGTCAGTAGGTATTGTAGGTAAAAATATTATTTCTGCCTCTTCTACAATGACTCTCTGCTGACTATCAGTGCTACTGAAGTTTGAGGCTATTTGAAGGATATTACACTTAGGAGGTTGAGCCTATGATCCCACAGGCTGCGTATTGAACTGGGATGGTGGAGCAAGACACCACCTCAACAATGCCTGTGGGTATTTTACATATTTGTATTGTGGTATTTAAGTCAATACACTTACAACCTAAGTAACTAGGCTGCCCGTCAGATAGCATGTCAGAGTTCGCTCTACTTTCAGAGATCCTTCTACCAATAATATCTTGTGCTAATGCCACTTCTGCTTGTCTCCAGAGAGAAACACTGCCCGTGCTGCTCTTACTGTCACACCGATGCCAATTGACTGAGGTAGCTGTCTACAGTGCAGCAAGAGCCAATTGACTTCTGACCCATCCATGTAACAAAGCAGTGGCTCTCAGTGTTCCTGAGTCAATATCGGCCGATCCGCAGCACTCAGATTGGCTCCTCCTGTGCTGACCTTGCCAAGAACCCAAGCATACATCGACTGGTCGGGGACAAGGAAACGGGCAAGTCCTGGCCCATTCCTGCAACTAATCCTCAACACAGCCAAGCACTTAAGGACTTAAGGGCAACTGAGAAACTTCCAACAGACTGACAGTTGTTTTGAAAGATACAACCTGGGCTCTAACTGACCATCTGAATTTCCAAGCAATTCAGTACACTCTTGAGTTTGTACTTCCTTCTGGAGCAATAGCTGAAAATTGTATTTTCTATCTCACTATAGAGGTTGAGTGGAACTACCTGTTTTAAAATTCCCTTAGGCAAATTATTTGCAGATTTGTATGCCCAAGGAAGTTTTGCTCTGAATTATGGACACAAGCTGAACATCTTCATAATCAGGAAATGAAACACATGCGACAGAAAGAACTTTTGAAGTTCTTATCAAATCATTTACTGCAGTAGATGGGTTAGTAAATATAAATACACTTTTTGTAGTTGATTAACGATGCCTTTCCGGATTTATGACTATTTCACCCTTCATGTAATGTTTCTTCACATTGACTGTTTTTCATACAAACCCATTATGAGCAACTGTTAATCACTGTAAATACAGTAGCTTGAAGCCACTTGCAATAGTATGCATCATGTCACCAGCATGTATGCACATTTGTGTGCAGGTACAAAATACTAACAAAACAGGGAGCCACTCTTAAATAGCCTGCCCTAAAGCAAAGCTCTATGAATGGTCAGAAACTCCACATGGCATCTTTAAAGTGACACTATGCACCTTTTGCTCCTTTTCTAAAAAATAAATGATAAACTTGCTCGATTCAACAGACTCAGCGACTTTGCTGAAACAGCCTGACTTGGTCGGGTATGACCATAAGTGACACTAGCAAGTCAGTTTGTTGACTTTATGACTCTGTGCTACTTGTGCTACTACTATGTACTGAGTGACTAACAAAAAAACAGTGCTGTGATGGAGCTGACAGCTCACCGTCCATTCCGCGATAAAGCAAACTCCACTCCCTCCCTTTGGAAAGGCATCAGTCGCTGCAGGAGCTTGTGAGGAAGGCCTGACAGTTGCTCTGACCATCTTGTATCACAGCAAGAGGTCTGTGGGGCATTATTATCCATTTCCATTAGTAAGTCCTCATCGGTATCTTGGTCCTTGTTCAGTCAGCCAGCTCTGATTTTAGGCTAGAAAAAAAACATTGTTAAAATAAAATTCACATTTGAATATGGCACTGTGCGGGCTAAGTTTGGTCTGAATCAGAATCTCAGAATCAGCTTTATTGGCCAGGTGTGTCGGACACACGAGAAATTTGACTTTGGTACATCGGCTCTCGATGTGCATGTACATATCCCCATGCAAGGGGCAAGTCAACAGTAAACCAACATAAGCCTGTGTAATATAACAAACTAAGCAGTATTAACAAGCAACAGACAGTGCAAACAATGCAAAATAAACAGTATAAACAGGCAGTAAACAATGCAGACAGAATCGGTTACTATTCACTACAGCTTTTATTAGACATATTCAGTGCTGATTTAAAAATGCTTTATAATAACAGTAATTGGCATACCTCTGCTGCTTGCTAGCACTGATAGGAACACCACTATTAGAAGCTAGCTGGTGGACAGAAAAGCCAGAATTTTGGATGAGATGTTAAAAATGGCCTCTCTCGGCCACCTGAGTGTATTTTTTGTATTGCCTCACCTTGCACCGTTCTGGTCAATCCAGGCTGGAAGGGGTTGCCCTCACATGTACATGTACCCTACAAAATCACGACTATGTCAAAAGTCCTTAAGGTTAACGTACTTATGCTTATTGGTAACAGGATATCAACGGGCTAATTTTAGACCTTCACTCTCTCTTTAGTAGTAATTTTCACCTTACATTTGTAATTAACGTTACATCTTCCCTCCTAAATTAGACCACTGATACAATATAGCTTCTGTAACGTTATTCACTGACAAAATTTTCATCCTGGTGTGCATTATCCAATAATTGTGTTAATTTTAAAAATCTATCGTGCACTTAACTTCTTCACCAATACAATTGGGTACCTACATAACATGCTACCAGGTTAGAGGTCAACAACAAAAAAATAAACAATTAAAAAGTAAACACAAACTAAAATAGTTTCCCAATGTTATGTTAGCATCCTTAGAGCTAGCAACATAAACCGAAAGTAAGCAGACTTCAGAAATAAAAGCACCGTTCTTTATTTTAAACGACTGTTCTACTTCGAGAGTAAATTACCTCTATTATTTTGAATTTCCCAACCGGAAATGGATTTCTCTTCTGTTGTATTTGGCTAGCTACCTGTCTGCTCTATGATTAAAAAAAACACAACTAATGTTAACAAAATTGTTTGCCAACCGTAGATAAGCCTCCAAAGAAGAACGTTAACATAACTATTTTGTCTTTACTCAGTGTTTGTTCATATGGTACAACACAGTAGCTAGCTATTGTTGAGCAAAGTAGATCTGGCCACATAACTTCTATGGTAGCGTGACTGAGGAGCAGAACTTGTGCTGGTAACATAACATACAGTTGTTAAAATTGTGCGAGGCTTAAATAAAAAGAGACCAACATTATGAGTGTGTGCTTGCTTTGCCTACCAGGTAAGACGATAAAATGAAGTCGCTTCTATAAAATAGTTTCTGTAACAGCAGACTGAACTGAAAAACTAAGACGTTTCGCGGCAAATTAAAGGTATACTCGTTTATATCACCAGGCATCCACAGCAAGTAGTTATCAAAGGGTGTTCCTGGTGCTTTGTGATTTAACTTGATCACAATTCAGCAAAATGTATATATCTTTATATCAAAATTAAAGCATATGTAAGAAAATGAAAAAACTGTCAGATAAACCCTGTGCATGCGCACAGTCATAACGCAAAAAATCCCGCACAGACAAGACGTGACATATTTTCAACACTCTACGTGTCGAATGCGAGGAGCTGACGCACTCTCCAGTCAGCCTACTGGACTCCGCTGCCTCTCCTTCACTCTGCCACACACTAGCTAGTTACCCCTCGGCAGAGGCAACGGCTGTGCACCGATTATAAGCCAACGCGGTAAGGTAACATTAGATATCTGCACTGTCCTGTCTAGAATTTACCGGTTTGATAAAGAACATTTTAGCCGGATAGTTGTAATCATGTAACGCGAGCTAGTTAGCAGTAAACATCTCTCCTGCTAGTGTGCGACAGCTCAGGGCGCCGGTGTTTGGCCGTTTCAAGCGTTAGCAAACCACTGTGCCAGATAATAATCGTTAGCTTTAGCCCCGACACGATCCAACGCAAGTGTGGCTTCAAAATGTTGCCTTGCTCTTCGGTAAAAGTGCACATTTCGCAAGCATACACCGTGCCCAAATTGTGATAGACCGTGCTTCGTTTTGGCGTTCGCCCGAAAAAGCAAACAGCACTTATTTAATGATACAACATAATTCAATAACTTCTAACGTTAGGCCTGGTTCGTTTGTTCCTCCCCCAGAAATGTATGCGGCAACGAACAATGTGTACTAAGGTTATCTGTCTCCATTTCAAAAAACTGAGCTTTAAATGAATTGTGGCGCTGTTTAGTCAAATGTCTCATCGGCCGAATTTTAGTTACTTTTTTTATATTATCAGACTTAAATGTTATATGTTGCCCGTGGCTCTACCTTTGCCGAAGGAAACAATAAATTGCCAAATTTGTAATGGAGTCTGGTGTGACGTGCTCGGTGTGGATGGGGGATAGCAAACTATCGAAAACTAAGCCTTAAGTTACACCGCTCTAAATGATTTCTTCTTTGTCCTATAACAGGGATCATGGTCTCCTGTCTTTATGCTGGATACATGACTGCCAGTGTGCATTTAATTGGTCGATGGTTGCAAAGGACAGCAGCTCCATGCTAATTAATCAAGCCCACCTATTAATGAGTTGTATGTAATTGTTGTGCAGCTAGAGTTTACCAAAAGAAGGTTAATGAGTTGTATGTAATTGTTGTGCAGCTGCTAGAGTTTACCAAAAGAAGGTTTGACAGTGTTGTATTCGGAGTGACACTGAAAGTGTTCCTAACTCTTTTCTCATGCAAATTAATTATGCTGTAGGATATAACTCCACCCCTATTGTCAGAGACATTATTAAAGTGGGCAGTTAAACGTGACTTGAACTTGATTTGTGCAAACTAAAAACCTTAAATCATAATCTAAAAACAAATTTTGTTTTAATAAGTGACCCACAGCCAGTATCATCCTGAGGCATTAACTTGAGCATTTGTTGCCTCTCAGATTTGATAGAGATGGAGATGAAAGCTCCACTGAGGATGAGCATCATGACTGTCATTTTCATGAAGAGACCAGTGGAGCCTAGTGGGTGCTGTTTTAGAGAGTGGAGATGATGACGATGTGTTTGTCTGTACAGGGCTGCTAACTGTGCTGTCCAGCAACATCTGGAAGTCCTCAGTCTGGCTGGGCCCATAAGAGGGATACAGTTGACCATCCATTTGTACCTGCTAAGTGAGGTATAGTGTATTGGTCACAGAAAACACTCTCTTGTGATTCCTTGCGTACTGTACAGTAGCACACCCCTCTAAGGCTTGAAATAAATGCTGTTAATTGTTTTCCAAAATAGTTTCACCCACTGCAGCCACCACTCTGTTGACTATTCATTATGCAGGTTAGGGTGCATTTGGAGCTGATGACATTATCAGATATTGAGGTTGAGGATGCTGCGTAATAGCTTTCACCAACAATGTAGTCTTTCCTATAATATTTGGCCTGGGCCGTTAAATAATTCATCTGCCTATCCATAAATTGTTTGTTCAACTGGTGACCTTTTCACGGGATTAAGAAAGCACAATTATAAATTCTTCAGAGACCTGGCATAACGAATGGTACAATTATGAGGCAGGGTTGGATCGGATCAGTTGTCGCAGCCTGGTGTTGGTTGCTAAGTGACAGCAGGAACTTTTCCGCCCACTGTGTTTGCTGTTAAAGTCTGAGTGACTGAAAGGACAAAAACAATCACATTACGGCGGTCTAGACTTCGACTGAACAGGACCTGTGTGACTTCCTGTGTCTTTGACAGCCTGTCACTCACTTGGTGATGAAAGTCATGAAGTAAATTATTTTTAGAGCCCAATTATCACTCTTATTATCTACATCTCCTCCCGCATGTACAAAGTGGGCTTGATCTTTAATGAAATAAACAAGTGAACTGAGTGGTAATGGAGGCTGTGATCCATTATCGTTTTTCCTTTTAAATACTCTCAAATCATTAAAGGCAGATTTAGATGAAATGGAGGAGGTTATGGGTGTGGTTTATTCACGCACATCACAATCAGCTGCTCTTTATGTATTTTGTAACTGAGCCACCAATATGCTTATCTTAGATTTGCATATAGCTAAATGTTTTATTGCAGTGTTTCACTTTTCTGTTTTCGTAATGGGTGGCATTTCAGGTGGCGGCTCTGTCTGAGTCAGTGGGATTAGCCATAGCCTTGTCTTCTTGTGTGAAAACCAGGGTGCCAGCTTTAATGGGAAGGTAGCCCAGTGAACAGCTCGGCCTCTCAGCGGCCAGCGCCTCCCCATCGACTCTCCACCTGGTCTTCGAGCACCTAGCTGGCCACAGACATGTCGCTCCTCTCCTTCTCACTGTTTGTCGCCTCTTTTTCTCCTTCGCTTTCTTTATTCGCCTCCTTTCTTTGCTTTTTCTCTTGTACCACTCTGTCCCCCACCCTCCCTCTCTCTCTTCTTCTTCTCCTCTTCCTCTCATTCTCCTTCTGTCTATCCCATGTCCCTGGTTGCCCTTTTCCTCCTCCTCCTCCTCCTGCCCCCGCCTCCATCCTCACGCAGAGTA